ATAAGGCATTTTCCATCTGGATAAACTGGAAGATCAATCTAGTGAAATATCATCAGAGACTTAATAAAGAGAGATCATATTCATTGTCAGTTTCAAGTTACTGAAGTTGAAACGCATCCTGGCAGATTCAATCTGTCTCAGTTTAAGGTTGCAATACAAAGAACACGTTATTGGATTCTGCTGCTCTACCAGTGTCTAACAAAGGTAGAGCTGCAGTTTCTTGAAACACTTGTATCCTGTTTTAATTTCCCAAAGTAGCCTGGGCATTTGCTTGGTTTTTCTACAGAGAATCTTAAAACAGATGCACCGTGGGGGATTGAGCTTTCTGAATGGAAGGGTTGACAAACCACTGAACGTGCTGTTGCTGGACACTGGCTTCCACCACTCACGCTCCTCTCTCTAGCAGTATCTAAAGGGCATGGTAATTTACTTAAATTTTCCCCAAAGACCCTGTATTACGTTGATTACAGGAGGCTCAGCTGACAGATGTGTGTGTAATCTGAATCTTTTCCATAGCCAATGCTCTCGATTCCTTTCTGGGCATGCCTGGAACTTAAGCAAGTAAATCCCCCAATTATCCATTGGGGAGTAGGTTTATATAAGTTCTTGTCCTGAGATGTGTTCAATCAGTAAAATTCACCATGTGCAGAGGGACAGAACAAGGCCTATGCACCAGCCAACTGAATCCTATTTTGAGAGATTAAGTCGGATTTAAGTTGTATCTAGACCTCAGGCTGGCCTGCAGAGGGGTGAATTTCAGTTTATGCATGTGACTCTTGTTGACTTCAGATGGAGTTGTGCATGGAAGACATCTTCCCATAATGTATGTTATTAACTATGAGATAAAAGAATTTATCTGTGTATTTTCGGAGTCTTTTTCTCATATTCCGAATTGTAGCTGACAATCTGACACTCAAATCCTTTTCATAGCGGTGATTTGATTGTTCTACAACAGAGCCGTAATATTTTACATGCTGTGATTAGCAAGCTCCTGTCTCTTCCATCACTGATCAACTACCGAAGCGGTTGTCAAACACAGTAGATGAAAGTAACTTGTTTTATTTTTGCCACCCCCCACAAACACTGGTTAAATCAGTCATGTGAAGTGAAGTAAGTGGCTGAGGGCTAGACAGAGGGGGTAAGGAGGTGATCTGTTCTCTTTTACCATATATGTGTTTTATCATTTGATTTTATGTGGCCCAGAATCTTCCCATATTTCTTTAACCTCCCCCCAGCCTCCACTATCCTGCAGTCTTTCATGTGAGACTGCTTCCATGTGTGTTACGGTCTAATCTTTGATAGCTAGTATTATTGCTTTCGAGTGGTTTGGGATATTGTTACAGCCATTAGAATGCTAGTTCTTACCCAGTCTGCTCTGTCTTTACCTATTTAGGTTTGTTGTGCTTACAAAAATAAACCATGATTGTGATTGGCAGTGTGGGAATTGTTTACTAGATGATATGTTGAGACCATATACAGGGTTTTTTTCCCCCCTCCTCATATAAAATGTTTCCTTTTTAAGGACACTAATGTGTTTTATTTCATTTTAAAGCAGGAAGCAAGGCAGCGAAGATAATCTGAAGTGCAATGACCTGCCAAATGTGGGAGGAGATGAAGTTCTTTCGTGAAATCCAACATTATGGTTATGATGAGCAACTTGGTCTATGGCTCCTTTTATACAATGTGCATCTGAGGATAAGAGATGTAACAGAGCCTAGCCAAATAAACACCGCATGACACGGCACTCATACAGCATTATACGCTGCATGTAGCGCTTACATAGCAGCATGTTGTAAGAAATCAGATTACAGTACTTGTCATAAACATTGAACATCTCTGATTGTTAAATACATAACTAAATGGACGGCTTGATTTCTTGTTGGAAACATGTTGGCAGAGATCAGAAGGGTGAGACGATTGTGAGGGGCAGTGGTGATGATTTGCAAAAAGCAAAGAAAGAAAGATGCAATTGGAAATGGCTTTTAAGTGGTTTTAATGCCAAATATTTCACAGAGACTAATGCCACAAGGTATTGTACAAGGTAGGTCGGCAGGCATGTGAAAGTGTGAAGCTTCGTACACAGCTGTAAAAACCAGAATTATGCACTTTGAGAGTTCACAACCTACCAGAAATATTGTTGCATCTATTTTTTATTGTTTTTCTAATTGACACATATTAATTGCACGGAAGCAAAGTAAAAACCACCACATCACTTTTTTCAACAATGCCTGTCTTTTTGAGCAAAGTTTGAACAGTTTGAATAAACAGCATCTTCAGGTAGTTCACAAACTAATGTTAATTACTGTGTTTTGAAGACACCACTTTTCCTAAAATCTTGATATTAGCATGGATAGATGTGCACTAGCTGGGCCATGTATTCAGGGTACAGATGGGAAATGTATCTAAGGGCTTGAAGTTTGGTCTGAACTCTTACAGCAATGGGCGTTTTGTGTTAGAATATGAGTTAAAACCTGTATTGCTTGTGGGAAAGTGAACTCCAATTTTGAATAGCAAAAGAAGCACTAACTTTTTCTAAATCTTTTACTTGAGCTCAGTAGCTATATAGTTACATGTTAAATTCAGGGTAAAATCCTTCACTTCCGTGTACATCACATGGTTTAATACGTACAAATAGCATAAATTGTTTTTTTAAATTGTATCTAAATAGACTTAGGGCTCATTTAGGATTTAAGATCTTATTGAAATATTTAGATTAGCTGGTAACTTTCAAAGAAGCTTTTTTTTTTTTTTTTTTTTTTTCAAACTCTTAATTTGGATTTTGGGGCTAGATATTTCTGCAGACTAGTAGCCAATAATTTGTGAATCCCTGTGGATCAGAGGCTAGTTAGCAGACTTCAGTAATTTAAATGCACATCTAGTCTACGGATGACTCCTTACTAAGAGCATTTTCATCGTCCCTGAGATTGCTTCGGAATGATTTTGTGGTGGTGGTAAAATCTAAACGGCAAGTGGTGGGATTCTGGCTTCTACATTAGATTTTCAGCTCATGCATGCTCTGTTAGTGGCTAGAGCAGAATAACTGAGATAATCATGAGTGGGGATGAGATTCTCCATTTGATTGGAGAAGGGTCAAAATAGATAGGATAGTCCTGCGATAAAGCATGGCACTGAAAGGCGGAAGAGCTGATTCTTTTCTCAGCCCTCCCACTGACTTGGTGTGGGACCTTGGGCAAGTCACTTAATCGGCCTGTGCAACTGGGAGAATCAAACTTCCCTACCATGTAAGGGGCGTATGAGGCTGAATTCTTTATCCTTGCATGGAAGGCACTATAGAAGTGTCAAGTATTATTTTGATCACTAGTGATTTCCCCCACCCCCTACCCTACAGAGGGCTTATTGGGCCAGAGCCATTATGAGGTAGTTATATTCTTGCCTTCCTCTGAAGCATCAGTTAGTGGACATTGCAAGAGGCAGGATTTATTGGCTCTATGTTCTGACCTGGTACAGCAAATCCCATCACCCTAGAAATGACAGACCTTTATTTAAGAGTCAGGAAGTTAATTTGGTAATTAGCAAGAAAAGTCCCACTTATGCAAGTTCCCTTTAGCATAATAGTCTGTATAGTTGGCAAAACCTTCTGGGTCCCAATAATCCAAGATTCCCTGTGTTCCCAAGTTGGTACTGGAATGGTATAGTCATCTTCTTTCCAAAACTGATGACATGATTCATACAAGAACCACAACTTCAGTAAACGTTTTCAGAGCAGAAACAATGAATCCGCAGCAGTGAAAAGGACACTCCATTCTTCCTCTTGCTTAATTTGAAGCTGTGAACTGCTATTGTTGGCTCTGCTTCTTTGCTTTTGAATACCAAGAGGAATACCAAAGTAAACTCAAGCGTCACAATTTCTCCTTCCTCTTTTCCCCAATCTATTTTCTTTGTGGAAATACAGATCCGATAAAGAGCTGCCAGTTGGTTTCCTGCGCTTGTAAGTGGATTTGTTGTTTTGCAAAAAAAAATGCATCTAAATGCTTAAAAGAAAATTCTCTTTAATTGTTCTTCCTGGGTAGTTTGTGTGTCGTGTTTTTGTTTAAGGTCTGTGAGCGATATGGAGATATAGTGCTGAATTTTTCCATTTCCATTAATGATTTGGTACATGCCATTTTATATAATTAAAGCTTAATTTACAAAACAGGAGTGATCAGGGCCTTGAGAGGTGCAATGCAGGGAGTAATGCATCTACTAAAACAAGCTCAGGTCTATCAGCATCGTATCGCGGCACCAGAGATTAGCTGTAGAACAGTTTATGGACATTGGCCTTTGACTCCTAAGCATCCAAAACCTAAGAGCTTCCTTGAGCAAACTCCCCAAGGAATTTATTTTCCTGCTACAGCTAGCTCCATGGCTGAGTAACAGTCTGCAGCCTGACCTCTCTGCCCAATATACTTTTCTGAATTAAGCTCCTTGTTTTACGTGGGCTTCCTTGTCAAAGTATAAAGTGTACAAAGTGTGAGGAAGATCTGTTATCTAAATGCATGAGCTGTTAGAGAAACTATAGATACAAACCTGTTCAGCTTTGTACCTACCGTCCTTTACTAGTCACGCGATCTTTGCTGTAGTGAAGTAAACCTTTTACCTGTGCCTTTGAACGGGGCTGTGGCTAGTTTTCCCCTTGAAAATCCTTTAACAAAAAAACCCAACACTGGCCATAAATTGCTGCTGACTGATGAGCCACGTGGCTCTGAAATTGCACAGTAAAGCTGTTATTGGTTGGTGGCTCCCTATTCTCTACTGGATAAGCAATCTGTTTTTTCAAAGTTCTGTGATCTTGCTGACTTTTATACCGTATTTAATGCCTAAGGCTTGTTTTATTCCTCTCCCTGTTTACTATGCATTTTACTTCATCAAGTGTATAAAGTTTAAATACTGTGTATTTATCACTTAAATTATATTAACTAATAAAATAAATGTAGGTGTTTTTCCACAGATGTTTAAGCTTCTCTGTACAAGTTGAAATAAATAGCCTGCAAACATCAACCCCCAGTTAGCTTCTTTATTGGAGAACTTTTATTCTGCTTGACCCAGAGAACTTTATCCTGCATTAGAGAAATGGTGAAACAGCAGGAACCTGCTAGCATGGCTGAGAGCTTGATCATTCGTGCTGCTAAATGAGATGGATAGTTCTTAGTAGTGGCAAGGGGAAGAGACCAGGATACCCCCGTTAGCAGTGGTGGGAGTATTGCTGCAGGCCCGCTGCCATTTGTTTAAACCATTGTGTGCAACTGTCTCAGCCTATTTGCATGAGATGGTAGGGAAAAATCTTCAGTGTGGCCTAGGCTTAGTATTAAATGTGCAACTTAAGTGGAAGAGATGAGTAGCAGCCCTCCAAAAGCAAGATCGTTCCTACTGCTGCCTTTGTGGGTGGTTGTGTGCTAATGGATGGCAACTTCTGACACTTCTTTTGGGAAAACTTTTCCACGGCTGGCAAAATATTCAGGGTACCTCTTCCCTTTTTTGCTGAGAGCACCTGGTGACAGCATTATGCAAAGAGCCAAACAACAGAGCTTGGCCCTGTCCACAAGGTAACCCCCCACCCCATTTCCCCAGATGTAGGTCTAGCCATGTCAATGGAAGAAGTGTAGTGACTTTCAGACAAGGTTTAGGAGGCTTTACCTGCTAGCCTCTGTATCCTGTACTTAGGTACAGCTGACTTCCTCTGAAAGCCTGATTTTTCAACCCCCGCCCCCCCAAGCCTGTTCTCCTGGCATTTAAGACAGGCCCATCTAAGCTAAATTCAGTGGCTATGCTGTTGAAGTTTAGGACTGTGGAGGGGAAGGAGAACAGGGGCAGGCTGTAGCTCATAGAGCACTAGTCCTTGCATCTGTCCACTGGATAGATCGTAGCTATTAGGACCACGTACAAATCCTGCTGTGGAAGGGTGAGTTTGGTTCACAGCTGGAGTGGTCAGAGTCTGCTCCCTCCTCTAGGCTGTGTACACCTCTACCCTAGCACCAACATAGGAAAAGCGCTTTTCCAACAGTGGCAGTAGCTGGTGAGAACACTTCAGCTCTGCCCTGGCCTCACCAGCTGCAGCATTTCTAAGAAAAGAGACCATGCTTTACCTTTGCGAGGGCTTTATTGGTTCACTATAGAATGGATTCACCTCTTATATCAAATCACTTAGAAGAAAGTGTATTCAATATAGTTAATTTGTGTATTTGGAATATTGGCATCTCCACTCATTGTGAAGTGCTATCACTGTTGTCATCTTTTTCCTTCATTACAAACACTGAATTTTAAGAGGACCAGAAAAGCAGCAGCCTCTTTATAAATGCAGCAGCCACTTACTCAAATGCAGGAGACCTAGAGAGCGCTTCATCTCCGACTCTGGGCTCCTGAAGATCAGATACATGAGGGGTAACCTGCAGGTTAGCGGTTGACTTGCCCTCACAGTAAGGAAATACATTTTATTACCATCATGCTGTAGCTAGATGCTCTCCAGCCCTGAGGGGGAAGACTAGCCACCAGGTTCACCACAGCTGGGGAAGGGATCTCACCTCTTAAGAGGGGCCTGGCTCTCCCACCAACAAGTAACCTCAAGGGAGGGCAGCTACCCTTCCCCCACTTAATGTCACTCATCTCAACACTCATCCTGGCTCAACTGTCTAAGCCTCTAGCAAAGAGGTAGGCTTTGGCTGGCTGGCCCCTCCAGGGAGCTTTCTAGAGGATATGGGGATACAGGAAGTAATGGGGAAGGGGAGACTTACTCCACTGTTACTTATCTTGAGATGCTTTCCATGAAAGTTTGGCATACATTTGTTTACTGTGGGCAGAATTTGAACAACTAGTAACTTCAGAACTTTCCCTAGTTTGTCAGTGACAGGGAACAAGAATGCACTGTTTGTCAGCCCTAAAGTAATGAGGGAGGTTTCTCTTTCCACTTGGAGAACGCAGATTGATTAACCCAGTTCCAGGAAGGGAAGCCTGCAGCATCATCATCTTACTGTCTCTCCATGAAGCAGAATAACATTCACAGCAGCTCTTCATGTTGGGCAGTTGATGCTGCCGCACCACCGCTGTCATGATTGTGTTCCATAGGTCTCACTGGGTCCCTTTAAAAAGGACAGAGGGTAGACCATCATTACACTTACAGTGAGGGCAAAATGGGCAGACCCTAGTTTAGGGTAGTGCACTAGCAGCTCACTCCTGGAGACCAGCATTGGAATCCTGCCTTGATCTAGTCAGCCAAAAAAGGAACCTTCCCACAAGAAATCTGCTCCCTGTGTGTATTAGATAATCAATTTGTGGTTTTTCACAGGTGAGTCCAGCTCACGCATAAGCATTTCCAACCAAATTTCAGCTGCAGGGCAAAAATCCTGCCCTCAGCAGCTTGGGTGAAGTCCTGTTGAAGACAAGGAGGCAGCAGAGGGCAGACACTCTATTCTCCAAGAGATACTAGGAACAGCCCAGCCTCACATCTAGATCCCAGAATTGTTTATGGTGCTGGCAGTTAGGAAGCTAATGTCAGTTACAGACAGACACTTTGACCTGTGAATTCAGATCAACAGGAATAACTTTTTTTTTTAAAAGTCACTTTTCAGAGCAGGATCACACTTAGGTCACCAGTGGAAAGGTTTGGGGAAGAGGAGTATTAGTCTTTATCCCAACATCTTCGGCTCACAAGAGGCAGGTGCTGGGGTTACAGGTCAGGACTGAAATACAGTGAGAGCAGGTTGAAATTTCTCCCATCCCTGCATCAGGAACAAGATCATGTTTCATGGAGGATAGACACTGGTTCCTAGGGTCTTGGGTTCCACCAATACATAAAATTGGCCCCTTTGAGAAGTCCTGTCCTTCTCCACCCCCTCATCTATGAAACTCTGCATTTGGGATCTGGATAGAGCTAACTTAGGGGTCATCTGGCTGCAGATAATCATTTCCATTTATCCATGGACAAGCCACAACGTCGGGGGGGGAGGAGGGGGGAGTGAACTTGGCTGCAACTATGACTAACCACACACAGCCATGCTGCTTACCAGTTCATAATCTTCTACGTATTTGTATTTCTTCTCTCTGTAGTAATATCTCTTCTTCATGAAGTACAGAACCACGATGTCACACAGGACTGTTGCCTAGTTGAGATCAAAGATCTTGTAACTGTTCTTACTTCAAGGCAAACAGATATTAGTTTAAAAATCTGTCTCAATAAAGACAATGTAACTTACCACTCCAAACAGTGCTAGCCCAGAGCCAATGTTAATCATTGTAGGAATTATATCAAATTTTCCTGCCTAACAGAGACACAGAGTGACAGTTATAAGCATTTTTGCAGACTCTGAAAACATTTAGAAGTGAATAAAGGAGTCAGCCATGAGACTGCTCAAGAAACAAAGAGCTACCTTTCCAAACACCATGATATCAAAACGGATGCCGTAAGCCTTAATTAGTGTCCGCGAGTCAGTGCCACTTGCGTCCTTGTAGTATTTTGCAAACCTGAAGAACAAGTGTTTTAGAGACTTTAAAAAAATTAGGGGTTACTTTCTGTTCCACCCCGATCCCACTGTTGCCATTATTTTACTCATACTGGCCAATGAACGGATGAGCTTGTATTATTACAATTACACATGCCATGCAATATCCATCAAGGAGAAGTTGAGAGAGCCTTAGACAGAAGTAGTTAGTGGCTAGATTAGAAGAGCTGGGTTTGGAAGAGTTCTGAAGCACAGGCAGGGGAGGAGTGGAAGAGGGGAAATCCACATGAGTGCTCTTTATAACCAACCTTGGATACCTCTTCGTGCAGTCAGAGCATTTCAGATGAGTAATTTAGTTTTCAACAGGACAAAGTGCGAGTGAAAATATCAAGAGGGTTTTAGTTTACAGATTTATAGCAGAGCCACCCAAAGGATCCACCAAGCTATATACAGTCTGATGTGGGAGGTACAGAGGATTTTTGCAGGTATGTGATTTGCTAAAGGGAACAGATAGTACTTCAGACTTGAATAAGACTTGCTTAGTGACAGTACTTGGAGCTACAAGGTTGCAGCCACAGAAGTCATTTTCTTAGCTCAAGCAACACTACTTGCATGCAGACATTTAATAGGGGAGAAAGAGGGAGATCAGACTTACTGTGCCATGTGATTTGCTGCTTCAAGTGGAAAGAGAAGAAAGGACGGAAGAGAAGAGGAATGACTGCTATTTGGCTACACGTTTTTTCCATAATAAGCACACACAATGGTAAGTGTCAATGGCCAAGTCTAGAAGCAGTTTACGCTCTGCATAGTTGGACCAGCCTGTTCTAATCAAATACGCTAGTGTAATAGGTCTTGACAGCATTTGGAGTTTGCTAGACATCCTAAAAAGCCTGCAGGCCTCTATAAGTGTGAACAAACCCTATCAGCTTTCCACAGCAAAGCAGCCTCCCGTGACAGACGTTGGATGAAACACTGTCTTCTGTTTACATGAGAATCTCTACATAAAGAGTCTTAGCCTTCGGGCTGTCACATCATAGTCTTTAGGCAGTCGACCTTCTGCCAGAATTTAAGATTCACAAATTTTCAAGTTCTATCAGATATGCCCGCTACGCTAGCTGGAGTGTTTTGTAACCTTAGTGACATAGTAGACACAACTTGAGCCAGCACACATTACAGTTAGTGCTGTAACCACGGTAGACAGTCAGACATTGCTCTTGCCGGTGGTTTAAGCTGGCCCTCCAGCCAGGTCTAGGGCTGTGATCTCCCTGATATAGCTGTACTGCTAAACATCCCTGGTGTAGACGCAGCTACACTGGCAAAATGGAGGGAGAAGCAGCTGAAGCAAGCCACACTTTCTCTTATCATGAGCTCTCCCAGTTGCAGCCACACTAGGAGTGCTTTGCCAGCAGAGTGGTAGAGCTATATTGGTTAAGTGCTTCTAGTAGTTGTCATCTTGTAACCAGAGTGAAACACTATCATCTAGCTGTACCTACATAGTGCAGTGGACTAGTTCTCCCTGCACCCAAAATCTAAACAATAGGGGGCGCCAGAGTTCATTGCCCCACGTGCAGATCCTCTGGGCACTCTATCCTCCTATGAAACATGATGGGAGGGCTGCCCAGATTTTCATAGGCTGCACTGCTACAGACATGATTCAGTGCATGTTAAGCTGAGGCTCTGACCCAGCCACTTAAGTCACCGTATCTCCACTGACCTCAGCATTGCTACAATGAGTTATAGCAGCTGAGGATCTGGTCCACGGTAAGGGGGACTCTTTGGTGGTCATAAGACAAATTGGTTTTTGGTAGCTAGATCATGACATGAACTGGGGCAGAAAGAGCATCACAACCTGGTTCCCAAGAACCCCCGTAGTTGTACTAATAATGTGGAGTGAGCCATAATGACACCGCAGACTCTGCTACTCAACCGTGTACCTGAAATTATATCCAGGTGAGACCGTGTGGTCAGAATCCTTGTTATCAAGGCGACGGAAGGTGTATTTTGGCACACAGTAAGAAGCAGATTTGTCAAGGTCACAGTTCCAGTTGATCTGCACCCCCATTACTCCACCCTGCACAGCACAAACAAACAAAAAAGCGCACACAGAGCAAATGCATCAGAGGGGGTAGCTTAAAATTGCTGGCCAACCTGTCAAAGGGATTTCTTCACGTTGACCTGGACACGCTAGTTTAGAGAAGAGCATATCTGGTTTCGAGGTACACATCAAGATTTGCTTCTCATCCCACTGCAGATACCCCACTAGACTTAAGCTCACACATTTGCCAATGTGAAACTTGTAATTCAGGGGTGATGTACGTGGCGTGTCCCCCAACTTCCTACCCATAGAACAAGCTGTTACTTTCCAGCCCATTTAAAAAAAAAAAAAAAAAAAAAAAAATCAGCAAGAGAAACCAGGATCCAGTTTATTAAAACAAACCAACCAACCAAAAACTACTTACACATGGTGTCTTTCACTGAAAACGCAAGACTTTAGAACGGTCTCAGGCACACAAACCCTTTCCACTGTTAGTGGTGCACAGTCCCAGACCCCAGCTGAATTGTTTACCAGCTTTACTTCACTTATGCTGAATGAGCCCTTGTTCATAATACTGCATAAGCGTTTTCACGAGTGCCACGCAAGACAAACAGAAGGGAAGTTAAATATTTACAAAGTAAAGTTAAAATATTCCCTATGGCCCTGGGAAAAAAAAAAGCCTTCTAACTAGCAGTCGTTTTGCTACTTGTTAGATGGCTGCCAGCACGAGCAAGTATTACGTTCTGAGGCAGTTGAAGAAGCTGCGTAACAATGGCTCCTGTTCCTTTGTTGCGTCCTCTCATTGAACAAACACGAAAGGGCAGGTCTACACTTCAAACGCTGTAGCACTTTCTCCCGTCGGCGTAGTTAATCCACCTCTGTGAGAGGTGGTAGCTATGTCAGGGGGAGAAGCCCTGCCGTCGACAGAGCGCTGTCGCCCCCGGGGGTCAGGTCAGTATAACTGTCGCTCAGGGGAGTGGATAACTGAGTGACATGCCCATGTAAGTTTATAGTGTGGATCTGGCCTAAGTGAGGACAGAATTTCCACATACCTCAACAGCCATCTCTTGAAAATTCTGTCCTGCAGCTTCAACTATTCGATGGACTCGGAAGATTGGGCAGAAGGGATCCGTTTTAGGGTCGTAAATGCAGGTCTTGAGGTAAGTGGTACTGATAGAGGGCAGAATATTTCGCCTGAAGCGGCACGAAAGAAGAGACGAGACGTGTTACAGCAGCCCTGTGCTCCTGCACATCCTCCTCCATCCCAGCCCGCAGCTCACCAAGCTTCTCAACACCCTGTTCAGCAGAGAAGTACTAGCCCCAGTGATCACACTAGCACCTCTACGGGATACTTACCTGGTGAAGTTGAATTTGGGATACCAGATATTGTTCTTCACCAAAATGGTGAAGTTCTCAGCATCCTTTAGGAAAGCCGGCCTATGAAACAAGATTAAAAACATTCACCTTTGCAGTGTCCATACACAGCATCTCAGAGCACTTTGTGAAGCCAGTTATCCAACACCCTTGTAAGGCAGGTAAGTTACACCTACCTTACTGGTGGGTAAATTGAGATAGAGGAGTGAAGGCACTTGCCCAAAGCTCCTATAGCAGTGTGCACGTTATAAAGCTAGACAGAGGGAGTGGGAGTGAAATAGGGGATCATAGGCGTCACGAGTTTGACTCCTGGTTTACTTTTCTAGCAGCACTGAATTAGACTCCTTAGTCTACATAGGGGGATGTATTAGTATTAGATTTATGTTGTGGTAGAAGAGTGCACTGGACAGTTCCTGTAATCTAAAACTGGGAAGTGGCCAGTACGCAACTAAGGCTACGTCCACACTTATGAGCTAGGAGTGTGACTCCCCACTCGAGTGGACGTACTGCGCTAGCTCTCATTGATTAGTACGCTCAAACGGTACAGTAGCCGCAGTACCATGTGCTAGCAGCCCCCAAATAGGTACCTACGAGGTCTCAGCGGATTTGTACTCAGGGCAGCTAGAATGGTCCCACTGCTTCCCAAGTTACGCTATTCTCTTTAGCGCACTACCTCCGATGCCAGCCGGGACTCACACCTCTGGCTTGTATTGCCACCCGGCTGGAAGTTAGCGTCAGCCATTGCTTTCCATGTTACTCATCCACCTTGAGGAAGCAGCCCACTGTGCCGGCAGGTGACACCAGCTGCCATGCAGTTCCGAGATGCCGCAGGGCTTATCTGACAATTCTTTTCAGCAGGCAGTGACTGCTCTCAGCTCTCCCCCATTCCTGCTACAAGTGCACCAAAGCCTCCTTGGCCGTGGTTTTCAAACTTCCATTATTGGACCACACAGTAAGAGCCACTGGCCAGAGACCACCCCTCCGGTTCAAGACCGCATGGGCCGCCAGCCCGCCCATCAGTGGTAAATAGAATGTGGCAACAGACAGCACTCACTTAGGTAAATGTGTGTCATTCTCCACGGGACACCAAGCATAGATCTCACAGGTTTTGACAGAGGTGGAGTATTCCCTACACTTCCCAGTCTGGACTCCTGGAAGGACATGGGAACAGAGTTAATACCTGGGCATCGAGAACAGCATGGCAACATTCACACAGGCTGTGACACACAACCCTCATCACCCTGTAAGGCGCTAACAGGCTGGATAGGTTATCCCCACATCACGGGGAAAGTTCAACAACAGAACCCCCTGGTAACTATACTAGTTAGGGATAGCACCAGTGTAAACCTGCCTGTTAGGGGAGGGCTAACGCCCACCGCAGCGGGGTTAACATTAGCAGTGGGTGGCCTCTAAAGAGTCAGCAGGAAAACTGGCTTCTTTGCCGCTTGGTGAGAATCTGGTAACAGCTGGTTCCTATGGTAAGTCTAACCTGGAAACCTCAATACTGCCCTTGAGAAACTCTGCCAAAATCGTGAGAGGGCCAACCCAAAACCACCAGCCATGTCTCCATCCCAGCCCATAATGGGAAGAGTCTGATTAATTATGGTGCCATTTTAGAACATCAGTCTGATACACTGAAATTGAAGGGCTAGAAGAAAATTCCAGGGTATTTTACTGTTTACACGGGACATGAAGCGTTATAACTTCCCGCCATTTAAACCGATCTTGTTAACCTGGTAAGTGGATGCTGACTTCTGAAAGGCTGTGCGTAAGGAAATCTAACTTGACCAGAGGGGAATGACTAGCACAGCAGAGGTTTACAGCTGCCAATAAACTTCACTTTATGGAGTTCAGATCAGTAACGTTCCTATTTTCCTGTGGTACTAGAACATTTATCCCTTTGTGCTCCCTTTTGTGAGGCCTCTCGTCTAAAGTTGTATTACACTTTGCTTACAGAATAAAAGCCAAGGTAATCGGACGAAACACTGCTTCCCCTCCTGTACTAGTGACAACACAACCTCTTAGGTGTCCCAATACAGTGTACATTGGTTTCATACCATTGCTGTGAGTGCCTATGTATCCTGCAGTACAGTCCTTACTGGAATTACACACAGTTGTCTTATCTGGAAGCTAGAGGGGAAGAATTGTTACTATAAGTCACAAAGATGACTTGCCACCCTCCCCCCTTCCCTCCCCGCCACGAGATGGGAGTTACTCCTCCCAGTTAAGGATTAGACTCTTCTGGAGATAAAGTATAAAGGAGACTGCCAGAGACCGTACCTACCTCAGGACAATAGCCTTGTGTCTGATTCAGTGTGATTATCAGGTTTGTCATGATGAATAACGTATTCTCCCCCTGAATAGGCAAGACAATCAATGAGATTTATGGGTTAGTTCTAAGCAGCGATGCTCTGGAAAGCAAGAGCCTCACTTGATCTGCATTAACAGGTTCTCAGGTGGTGCTGTAGAAAGCTAGTGTTTGGAGAGAGCACATGCACTGCTATTGTAATAGAGTGTCTCAGGCATCACTTGAAGAATCCTCATTCCTTAGGACAGAACAGTCCTGAAGGAGTATAACCCTTTCTACTGTGCTCTGTCCAGAGGTTCACTGAATCCACACTATGACAGTTAAGGACCACTCCATAACTCTCCAATGGTGCAGCTCTAGTGGGGTGGCACTGGCACAGACAAGGCTCCCAGCAGTTGAAGCAACAGCTCAAGTCAGGTGTAATGAAACAAGGAGATGACATGTCACCCTTGATCAGTGGTTCTCAACCTGTGGCCCATGGGCTGCTTGCAGCCCAATCAGCACACAGTTGCGGCTCATGTGACATCCTCAGGGCCATACAGGTAGTGTATATATTATTTGGATGCGGCCCACATAACACATAGAAAGCTGCATAAGCAGCCAGCAATGGTAAACAGGTTGAGAACCACTGCCCTAGATATTAGTTTAGCACCAGGCTGAACACCTCGAGGGACGTTAACATTAGTATGTAGATCTGTGACACGGCCAGAGGCAGCTACTGCTAGAACATGCTGGGGTTTTCATACGAGTGTGCAAAGAGGACCACTGGCCACTGCCAAGGACCACTCAGTCCTGCAAGCTGATCCACACAGGCACAATGCTCCTGAACGGAGTACCATTTATTTCAATAGGTCCGGTGCAGGCAGAAAGCTCCCAACTGCATGGATTAGCTGGCATGACCAGAGCTTGCGTTTTTAATCTCTTAATGTGGAACCTGTTCCAGCCTTAGTGCTTTTGTACTTTTCCACCTGCAGGCACTGATCTCCCACCTGCATTTCTTTAGGGCACAAGCCCAACGGGCTCAGATGCCTTTCCTTGCTCATGCACCAGCAAACTAGTCTTAATTACTTAATTGGCAAGTTCCCACTAAGAAGGCTCTGGCACTTCTCCACCAGGTTTGCTGTGGACAGAGTCATTCAAAGGCTGGCAGGCTGTAGGTGTCCAGGGAGGGTTGAAGGCCAAGTACTGCCCACTCAGAACATACAAGTATCGAAATGGCTGCAGGCTCTCCTCTGTCAATCAGTAACTTCCAACAGTTCCTGTTTAGTTCCGGATCAGGTTATTTGAGAACTGTTAGGACCATTGAGCCTGAGAGAATACAGTGTTTAACTTTGGTCTATTGGCTTTTAAACAAACAAAGCAATACAGAAGTAGGAGAGAATACCTGGGTCATTACTGCAGCTTTATCCAGAGGCTGGATACATACAAACAGACAAGCTTCATGCTCAAGACACAGTAGTGCTGAGCACTCTTAAACCCTGATGAAGTCAGTGGGAGTTGCAGATGTTTAGTGCCTCTGGAAACCAGGCTAATAGCCAAATGCCTTTTTCAGACCAGTAGTTTTGCTGCAGCCACAGAGAACGGGCGTTCCAGAGTTGAACACCTGTCTGCGAGAGACGTCTGTTTGTTGGCAAAGCCCTATCAAACTGTGCCAGAAAAGCCCATACCTGAGGTGGAATAACATAATCAGCCACATCCCAGACCCGGAGTCCCAACTCCGAAGTGTTTGTCATGGTTATTCCCTTCACCTTGGTGGTAACAGAACTGACCACAGAGTCGGTTTCCTGGTAGCCCTTTTCCCACACAAAGACCCAGCTGCAAAAGAAGGAAAATTCATCATGGCTTCTGCACTGAGACACCTTTCGAGATCCCAGCAGTGTGACTGGGAGCCTGGAGGCCTGGGTTCTATTTCTAGTTCCTTAGATGACTTTGGGAGAGTCTCTTAAGATGTGACTCATTTCCCTCCCACCCCCATCTGTAAAATGGGGCTAATAGGGACCCATTTCGCCTGGAAGGACAGCCTTAACTAATGCTTCTCAAACACCTGAAAGACGCTGTAATCCCCCCAGTCACCTGCTTTGTGGGGTATTATATAACTATTGGATCCCTTCAGCAGTGGGTTTGCACTGGAAGTTTTCACAGGTAAGTTTTAGGGCTAGGATCTGAAATGAGAAGGGTGATCTGGCAGACGCCAGGCATTATTTGAGGTGGAAATGACAGATACACTCACAACATCAAATGAGAATCAGCTGCAAAGACTGAAGCAGAGAACAGCAGACACTTGTGGGCTTTTGTATCTAGACAAGTCCCATCCCCCATTCAGCTCTTACTCACACTGGTATAGTGACATCAGTGGAGTTACTCTTGCTTTACACCAGTAAGGGTGGGAGCAGAATCAGGCTGACAATACATATGGGTCCCATGTGCTTTTGTTATCTGACAGGATCATCTATTTTAGGAGAGCCCCAGTGAGCAGCTTGCATTTACCTTTTATTGCTCCACCATCTACAGATGTCACTACCTGGTTTGACCAGTCCATTAGCTCCATTCAGGCAATGTAGGGGCCTGTTCTCCCTGTATTGGGCCTTGCTGTGTTTCCAACCATGAAAAGTGGGTATAAAACGGGACTGCTACCAACAGAGTTCTCCACCCACTTATACAAGTGGTAAATCACTCACACATGCATAGATGCTCTCACACAGGGTACGTGAATGCACGAGGCAGTGGAAAAGTCAGGCCCATAGATTTTTCCTTAAGGGAGGCCATTTAAAGTAATACTGACCAGGGTGGATTTGATTTGATTTAAATCACTAGTCAGGAAGACTTGATTTAATCATGGATTTCTACATAAAAGTGCATTCTGGAATATGCTGCTCAAACAGTTTCAATTTTGTTTCTATTGCCTGTCCCTCCCTTCTCACATTTATCTCCAGACTTCTTCTCCTTGTCCAGATCTATTCTGCCCCAACAATCTTCTATTCACTGAACTTTTTGAAACTTTGCACTTTTAGAGAGAGGTAAGGAATTGACTCTGTGTACACAAATTTGCAGAGGGACAATAGGGTTGAGGTCTGTTCTTTCTCCCCTCTATATATTATTTATTTATTTAAAAACATTTTTGCTGTTAACAAGCATGTTATCTCCGGATACACAAATCCACAGTTTGAGAACGGCAAAACTAAACATCTCTGATGGTATCTTCTAGACTGAGCACTGAGTCCAATTGGGCAGATAGAAAGATTAACCTAAATAATCTATACAGAAGCCTGTGGAACCCCATAAAACTGGATCGCTAATCCATGAACTATTGGAACTCATATACAAGACTTTTCTTAAACATTACGTGAATATATTGTCTCATACTATAGAATTAGAATTTATAATCCCTATTCCATGATGAGATATCTTTGAGCTATAATGTATCTTAATTAAAACTATCTTTAGATAGGTTTTTCCCTCAAAAAGCATTTTATCAAAAAAATCCGATTTAAATAAAAAAAAAATCCAATTTTTTGATGGGGTTTTTTTGTTTAAATTGATTTTTATCCATCCTGATACTGACATTACCTTAGTACATCAAGGTAACAGGAAATTTGATCTCTCTTGCAGTTTTTGAGAATTTTAATGTTGCCAAAGTTTGTCATTAGCCTTGGGATATTTGGAGTTTCTTAAAACCCCAGCTCCCGGACTCGTGTTGAGAATCTCAAAATTTTAGAGAAAAGTCTAGCCCTCATGATTACAGAGAAAAGCTTGAAACCATGAACTCTAAGAGCTAAAAAAAACCAGAAAGCAAATGAAGAGCCCATATTGTTGTTTTAAAAACTTCATTATTTCTAAACCAATCTCATGATCTGTGGGAGGTCCCCCGTGATTTTTGAGCACTGGAGGTTGGCAGTACTGTTACTGACTAGTATGAAGATAGTTCGGGGACAGGAAATGTCTCAAACATGTGAGAGGAGGAAGTTACAAGTAACAAGCCACATTGAAGACAAACACATGAGATCATCCTGGTCAGTGATCTCCTGGTCCAGCCTCTGGTGCCAATTCCCAAGACTCTCATACTGTAAAAGGCAGACAGCTATCCCTCAGCCCGATATGCTTCTGTCCTGCACAACAGTTTAGCCTACGAGTCAGGTATTGAAAATTCAAGCCCCTGAGAGCAGCTTGGGGCATTCCATTCACAACACTTCGGAAATCCCACAATTCGGAACAGCCACAAGGCCATTCTCTCTAGAGAGTTTCTGCTCTGTCACTTGGAAGCCATCTTATGGGGCTGAGCCACTTATTTAGGGAAATCCAGTTTAAGATCCTTTCAAAAGGCCTGATGACTTCCCTGGATGTCTGAGCCTTGACAGCTAAGGACAGCCCCATTAAAGGGAGCTGGCACTAGACGTGACACTATCCATGAAGAGGAGCTACCTTATCTCAGAAGACAGAAACACCAGCAATAGCCAAACAAGCTTAGGTTCCAGTTGAACTCCCAGTACAGTCAAGGGGAGTCTTTCCATTTGCTTTAATGGGACTGGATCAGGCCCTTAAGTTAATTGCCTTAGGTTCTCCATTCTATTTTTGGAGATTTGTTCAGCTGAAAAAGGAACTAGATAGGCTGAGGTTTCTTTCCACTTTACATTTAGTGGGCAGATGGGAAAGGACTTTGGGGAGGATGGCTGTGGAGAAAACCACTGAGCTGTGGTAAACGAAGAACTGACAACAAGCCAAAAATCTCAGAGTAGAAGAGCACAGTGAGAAACCAGATAGGAAGAAGCCAGGTAAGAAATGACCTCAAGTTTTTGTAAGAAAAAGCAGAGATGACAGCACCGGCGTTTTTCCTTGTGCATGGAAACGGGCTGGTCTCCTCTCACCCAGTCCAGCGCATATCAGGAGTAACTCCAGCACAGTCAATAGCATTACACGCATAAGACTGGGGAGAGAGGAGAATCAGGCTGCCAGCAGAAGAATCCAACCAAGTCACAAATTAATGCCACTTTACCATTCCTCTGTTATGCAGTCAAGTCACCCAGAGACCTTTTGGTGCCCCATGGAAGTTAAGGCAATACTGTTAAAAAGACATTCCAATTACATATCTTATTTCTCCTCTTTGAGGGCTTGTGACATCCGCATTAAGTTAAATTTCTCGCTATCATCTGATGTCCATCTTTCTGTTTGTGATATCAGCTATTTCAACAGCAGTCAAGTGACACGACCAAAATTCACAACAGATGACAGAGAGAAATGCAGATTCTATGATAGAACAGCCAGTTAAGAAGACACTGATGTTTCCATAAGGTGTATGCAGTGTTGTTGTAGCCATGTCGGTCCCAGGATATCAGAGGGACAAAGTGGGTGAGGCAATATCTTTTATTGGACCAACTTCTGCTGATCAGAGACAAGCTTTCGAGCTTACATAGAGCTCTTCTTCAGGGCTGGGAAAGATTCTCAGAGTGTCACAACTAAATAAGGTGTCAGCAGTTCAATACAAGACCCTGAATTTTTCAATCTATTAGCATAACAGATATTAGATATGTAAGAACTATTAGACTAAATGTAATTCTCTCCATCCAGTAGCAAAAGGCTCTGTGGCATATTGAAATGCTTTACCTAGCCCAGTTTTAAGTAAAGGGGATTCCATCACTGTCCATGTGAGACTCACTATTATTAAAAAGAACAGGAGTACTTGTGGCACCTTAGAGACTAACAAATTTATTAGAGCATAAGCTTTCGTGGGCTACAGCCCACTTCTTCGGATGCATATAGAGTGAAACATATTGAGGATATATATATATTATATATATATATACATACATACACACACACACATACAGAGAGCATGAACAGGTGGGAGTTGTCTTACCAACTCTGAGAGGCCAATTAAGTAAGTGAAAAAAACTTTTGAAGTGATAATCAAGATAGCTCAGTACAGACAGTTTGATAAGAAGTGTGAGAATACTTACAAGGGGAGATAGATTCAATGTTTGTAATGGCTCAGCCATTCCCAGTCCTTATTCAATCCTGAGTTGATCGTATCTAGTTTACATATCAATTCCAGTGACATCATCACAGGGCCTAATCACATCAGCCATACCATCAGGGGCTCGTTCACCTGCACATCTACCAATGTGATATATGCCATCATGTGCCAGCAATGTCCCTCTGCCATGTACATTGGCCAAACCGGACAGTCTCTACGCAAAAGAATTAATGGACACAAATCTGACATCAGGAATCATAATACTCAAAAACCAGTGAGAGAACACTTTAACTTGTCTGGTCATTCAATGACAGACCTGCGGGTGGCTATCTTACAACAGAAAAACTTCAAAAACAGACTCCAACGAGAGACTGCTGAGCTGGTAAGACAACTCCCACCTGTTCATGCTCTCTGTATGTGTGTATATATATATATATATATATATATATCTCCTCAATATGTTTCACTCTATATGCATCCAAAGAAGTGGGCTGTAGCCCACGAAAGCTTATGCTCTAATAAATTTGTTAGTCTCTAAGGTGCCACAAGTACTCCTGTTCTTTTTGCGGATACAGACTAACACGGCTGCTACTCTGAAACCGGTCACTATTATCACTATTATTAGTAATTCCTGATATTCACCTTAAGTTTCCTAGCTTGATTTCACTCCATTACACCCAAAAAAAAAAAAAAAAAAAAAAAAAAAAAAACAACCTTGGTCTCTAAATAATTCTTTTTCTGTTCTTAGTATTTACTCCCTTGAACTTTTTCTAGGGGATAAAAACCACAACAGCTATGTCCCTCATTTATTGGGACTTACAACTGCCCCAAAAAGATAGTCACTGAAGTCTGAACTCCATGTTTTAATATATTTCAGACCCTGCTGAGTACTCAAGTCAAGATACTTTCTTTTATTAACCGTTTTCCCGAGTATTGATGACCTGGGCGACTAGCTACTATGACAACTCTGTAAACATTAAGTTCCAGGATCTGCATGAGCTTGTAAGATCACTTGGTCAAAGGCCCAACCCATCAGGTGAGCTTTACAATGGGGAACTTCAGGGCACCAACTCTGTTGTGACAGACAAGCTGAGCAAGGATAAGTTCTCTAGGCAAGAGCCCTCCACTGCAGACATAACCTGCCTGCTACAGGAAACTAAAGAGACCAAGATCTTCCTTCTGGCTAAATCCCTACATTTGCCTTAGAATCCCAGAGTTTAGTTGGTTTGATTTAGAGTCAGTTACAACACAGGGATCCGGAGCCATCTGGGCCACAACCTACCTGCCAGGCATATTTCCCTTATCTTGTGGGCAGGGTCACTTTCCTTGTTGCTGCGCATCCTGGCACCCGAAGTATTGAGTCCAAATATTTTGGAGGCAGCGCTGGGGAGCTCCCGTGCTATTACACCACCGCCCAGAGACCCTGATCAGGAGCAGTACAAGCAGAGGCCAAGCTCGCTCCCTGCCCCCAGGCAACTCCCAGTGCAAAGGGGGTGGAAGACACGAACGTAGAAACGTCGTTACACAACTCTGTATCAACTTCACCTGTCCCATGCGCCCACTGCCGCTAGCCATTGCTTGATCCCTGGCCAGGGGACCCAGAACACTGCGCACCCCCCGCTAAGTCAGCAGCCCCCCATCAGGCGGGGGGGGGGGGAGAATCTCTTCCCCGGAATCCCCTTTGCAAAACACAGCTGGGATGGGGGGGGGCTGTTTTCCCAACGGCGTCATCACAAATGAAAGTGAAAGTCCCTGCAAGGGGGGGCGGATCGCACCGGGGGGTGGGGTGCGCCTCGTGCCAGCCCCGGGGCAGGGGCTCTGCAGGGCGGACCCGCCGCGCCGGCTTCCCCCAGCCCCGCTCACCCGACCACGTAGGCCAGGATGGCCAGTTGCACCGCCCGGTTCACCAGCCCCACTTTGCGGCTCTTGATCAGCACGATGCGGGGGGTGTCGTACTCGAAGAGGAAGCCGCGGAGCGCCCCGCAGCACGCCCCGGAGGCCATGAGTCCGGCTGGGGGCTGCGGCCCGCACCTCCCTCGGCCGCGGGTTCAGGCTCGGCAGCTGCTGGACCTGCCGGGGCCCTGGCTCGGGAACTCCCTCCCCCGGCCGCCCCCGCAGCGGTCCGGCCCCGGATTGACAGGGAGCGGGCACCCCCTATTGGAGCAACTCCGCCCCGGGCCAGCCCCCGGCGGGCGTTTCTGGGCCGCCTCTTCCCGCCCTGGGGCAGGAGCCTGTTGTGGTGGTTCTGCTACACAATCAACTCAGGGTTAAACAGGGATTGGGAATGGCTGAGCCATTACAAACATTGAATCTATCCCCCCGTGTAAATATTCTCACACTTGCTTCTTATCAAACTGTCTGTACTGGGCTACCTTGATTATCACTTCAAAAGTTTTTTTCTCTTACTTAATTGGCCTCTCAGAGTTGGTAAGACAACTCCCACCTGTTCATGCTCTCTGTGGCCTGGTCTACACTAGGACTTTAATTCGGATTTAGCTGCCTTAATCCGAATTAACCCTTCACCCGTCCACACTACAGAGCCAGTTAATTCGAATTAAAGGGCCCTTTAAATCGATTTCTGTACTCCACCTCGACGAACGGAGTAGAGCCTAAATCGATTTTGTTAATTCGAATTAGGGTTAGTGTGGACGCACACCACCGAATTACTGTGTTTAAGTTAATGGGGTAGTGTGGCCGCACACCACCGAATTAATGTGGTTTAAAACCGAATTAAGGTGCTTAGTGTGGCCGCGCACAATCGAATTTATACAACCTGTTTCCCAAATTCGAATTATCTAAATTCGGATTAATCCTGTAGAGTAGACATACCCTGTATGTGTGTATATATATCTCCTCACTGCTACTCTGAAACCGTGCATTAATCCTGGGGCTCTCGGGGGGGGGGGGCTGCTGCACCCCCTGGCTGGAAGTGGTTTTACAGGGTTTACAGTTTGGGTCAGTGGCTCTCAGCACCCACAGATACAAACTGTTCCAGCGCCGCGGTTCACAGCCCTTTAAATGAAGGCAGGGGGGAGAGATAGGGATTGCCAAGCAATCTCATGTTCAACAATCATGAGATTTAAAAAGAAAATATCAAATTTTGGGTCCTCTTGCCGCCTGGCTTCTGAGCCTTTAGGGGGCACTACGTGTTTTCAAGCTTTTTCGCTACAACCACAAGGGCTAGAAATGCACTTTTAAAAAACATGAAAGCTGATCTCTCCATGCAATCTCGGATTCCAGCAGCTGGGGAGTTTAGATAAACACTGAATACCGTGAGACTCACGTCAAAATGACGAAAGTTGGCAACACTGATTTAACACAGACAATTTTAATCCCAAGCATTTGAGTTAAGTAGCTGTATTAACAAACAAAACAGAGTTCTCATCCGTCTGAACAAAAATCATTTCCTTTTCAATCGAATTGGGTTTCACTTGTGCGATGACTTTGATATCATCGACCAGTCATCCATAGAGCCTACCCTGCACAATATGGTGGATACGACCTTAATTTCTAATTATTATTATTATTTAACCCAAAAATCTCATCAGGACTAGCCCTCCCCTTGTGCTAGGCAGATGGTGGGAGTACTACCAGTGTTTTAGTGCAGGTAATTTTTCTGTGGAATTTGTATCATGTTATGGCCACGTCCTACCCCAAGAAAAGACTCAACTAGAAGCCCCCAAGGTGTTTAGCAACCACAAGCATGAAAATAGATGCAAAAGGGAAGCTCGCAATGAAGGCAAAGGGGACCCCACTACACACTAGGGTCAGATGACCAGGGCAGTATCAAAGGTTTAAAGAGTAAGTGCGGGAGGAGGTGACTGTAGAAAATCAGGCCAGAAGATTAATGGAGGGGTGTCTTCAGTTTTCAACTGCTGCTGATGGAATTTTAAACAGCCAAGACATAACGGCTTCTGGCGCGCGCGCACACACACACACACAATGCCCGCCCCACCCCCCACTGGGTCAGATTCTCCCTACAGCTACCCTATGCCAGCACACTGAAGTCAGAGGGTTGCTGGGAGCAGAATCTGGCCCAGTAGTTACATATATCTAGCAAGGCCCCAATTCCGCTCCCATTTACAGTGAGGACAGAACTGGGCCCTAGATGTCTTAGGCTCACCATTTATCTCTTCCCTTAGATCAAATCCTTTACTGTATTTTTTCTCTCCTACAAAATTGATCAGATGTTCCAAACAATTGAACTGCAGTGTGATACCAAGCTATGATGACTAGATGACCTCCTGAGGTCTCTTCCAGCCCTAATCTTCTATGATTCTATGAGCTTTAAAAGTGGCCACGATTTGCTAAGGACAAAGAGCTCTGACACTTGGCTGCCCAGATACTATGGCGATGGGGTTTTCGAAATATGGGTAGCAATAATAATGATTTTCATAATAGTCCAACAAAGCATTAGAGAGGGGAAGGGGATTGGCTGGGGATTTAATGTATATGCTACTGCAAAATCACTAAAAGAGAGTCTTCCACTCGGCTATGGATTGATTAAACATTGTATTTATTAATGGAAAAACTCAGTCAAAACTGACCGCAAGATAAAAAGGGTTGCAGAATGAGCATAAGAATGTATTTAACAGGTCCTTAAAAAGACAGTCCTAAACAAACACTCCATGTTCTGACATCAGTATTTCCAAAAGCAAAGAAAGAGTGCTAACCAATATATATTAGTGCAGAAATGTATCAGTGCCAACATTACAAAAATAACACAATCCCAAGCCATCGCTGCAATGAGATGCTGCCACATGAATGTCAGTGCAATTAATACATACTGCCATTGGAAATGCAACTAGAGCTGGAATATTTTTCCAGACACTGGTTTTAAAAATATGTACAAAATTAAAACCACAAACTACGGAGTTGCGCAGATTTACAATAATGCAGAGCTGAAATTGGCCCAGTATATACTAATTAATATCCTTCTTGCCGCATTGCTACAAAAACAGCTAGTGAGTTTGAGTCAAAGCACAAGAAAAAAATAGGAATCAATGCACAAGTTAATCCATCATTTATTTGCAGTCTCGGGGCCGTATATACTGCCCTGAGACTGCATACTGCTATGCAACTCACTGGGAAGCTAACTGAGCATCTTGGACGGTATGTAGCCCTACATGAACTTAGAGCAAACATGAGGCTAAAGTCTGCTCTTAGTTACACAGATACCATCCCGATGACATCATGAATTAGCACCAGAGTAAATGACAGCAGAATTTGATCCAAGGCTTCTGAAAAGAAGGTAGAAAGTCAGTAAAAAAGTTGTCCATTTCAATTCCTGAGTTTATGCTTAAAGGGGCACTATCTACATAATAACTGTATGGTTACAAATGCTTTTCCTGTGTTACCAAAGTGAGCTGGTTTCCGCTGGTAACAGATTTGATCAACCACAAAGCTGAAAGAATCTGAAATGCCACACCGTTTGTGCACGACTTTGTCCATGAAATACACCCTCAAGGGGCTCAATCCTGCAAGACCGTTCTCCGGACCTTAGGACTGCTTGTGTGACTACAGACAACTGACATGAATAACGATTTGCAGGACCGAGCCTGAGCAAACAAGAATACTCTGCAGTTCTAAAGCATCTTTCATCCAAGGCTCAAAAGCCTTTTACTAAGGTAGGTAGGTATTATCCCCATTTGACAGATGGAGAAACTGAGACACCAAGAAGTTAAGGGTCAAATTTTCAAATGTCCTCTACTTTTGGTTCCCTGAATGTTTGGGTTCTCACCTTGAGGTAGCTGTTGGTGCAGTCTAGTTTTCAGCTGGAATGTTGAGTACTCAGCACCTCTGAACATCAGGGACAAGGTGTCCAATACTGGGCATGCAAAAATTGGGGCAAGATTTGAAAGCTACGGGCTATTGCCCTGTTCGAGGTCACAGAGAGAGTCAGCGGTGGAGTGAGGAACAGAACCCAAGACTCCTGACTCCCAGCCTCCTGCACTAATCATTAGCTAATACTGCCTCATTAACAACACAGAATACGGAATTCAGTCATACGGCAGTGGATTCTGAGAAATCACAAGCTTTTCTTTTAAAAATGTCTCCGGAGATAAATGAAGGGGTTTAAACTGTGAGAAATAAGCTGCATTGTGGTTCTGGAGCTATATAATAGAGGCTTAATAAAGGTTAATTCTTCCTCTCTAAACCAGTATACTTGCCGTCCTCACTGGGATACGTTTCTCTGATCTTCCACCTGCAGCAACTTGGTATCAGGGCACTGCTCTCCACCTCAGCAGAGCCAAAACGCCAGTGAATATACTGTCTGTAAGCACAGTGACGAAGCTGGTTATTGAGGGTCTCAGAATTCAAGTCCAACAAGGGCTCTTTGTAAAGCAGGATAAACTCCAGTGCTGATCTGGAAAGAACGAGCTGCTCGAACAAAGCCGAGGTTGTAATGCATGACCCTTCTTTTCTTCGGCAGCAGAGCTGCTCCCGGAAAGCCTGTGTTTGGTGGCATTTCCCACAGCAGCACCAAGAAGGGCGGTCGTGGGATGGAGAAGTTTGCCCTTCGCTTTTAAGGGGTTGCATCTCATGGGCTTTTGCTAAGACAGGGACCCGGTTGGAACATTGTGCTGCGAGCTTGGTCGTGTCAGTAAAAGCCCCATTGTCTCTCGGCAACTAAAATTCCCAAACACATAATCAGAGGAGTCAGGGTGAAAACAAGAAAATGCAGCATTTACTTTGCTCTGTGTCTACATCTGCACTTATCTGTCATTAGAGAATCCCTCTGTATTCCCCGATTTGATTCTAATTCCTCAAGCTTCACATTTAATGCAGCAGGACCGTATAATACAACAGTAAAGAGGCAGATCAGGAAAACAAATGGTTACTGGCTTTGAATCCTAATGCGGAACAAACCCAGGGAGCTGTTGGTTCATTCCCACTCTATATGGGACAAGATCAGAATATTCTTTTAAATCTGTTTTGTAAGTTTATACCCCGTGATCGACTGTATTAGTGACAGGATTCTATGCAGTGTAGTTGTAGCTGTGTCAGTCCCAGGATAATAGAGACACACGGTGAGTGACAGGAGTCCTTTTTCCACATAGCAGTCACAGCACAGGCAATTGTAATAGAAACTTCCCCCATACTTCCCTGCCCATGTTCCTTAATCCTTGTATTATGTATCTTTAGCACTGGATGGGTAAGTCAATTTCATGGTCTTTGGTTTGTCTCCAGAGACAGCCAAGAAGGGACCCAATGAGTGCCAATTATAATGGTTGTCTTTCTGTGATGGGAACACCCATTCCAATGGGAGCTGGGCTGAGAACTACCATGCGTATGTAAACATTGCAATAAAAGATCTGTGGCATGGCCGCGGCTGGTTCGGGTCAGCTGACTCAGGCTCACAGGACTCAGGCTGCAGGGCTAAAAACTGCTGTGCAGACGTTCAGGCTGGAGCCCAGGCTCTGAAACCCCTCAAGGGGGGAGAGTCTCAAAACCTGGGCTCCAGCCTGAGCCTGAAAGTCAACACTTCTATTTTTATCCCCACAAGCCCAAGTCAATTGACCCAGGCTCTGAGACTCTGTGCTATGGGTTTGTTAGTGCAGTGTAGATGTACCCCAAGTTGTTTCACGCAGGCCTAAGGACACCCACTGGGCGGTAATGAGATCTTTTAGTTTTACTCTAGAAAAAACAAACAGTCTCGAGTTCCCAACACAGTCAACTTCAGACGTTTCCCAGGATCACCAGCGTGGCCCTTCCAAAACCTAGCTAGAAACTTAGGGAGAACAAAATCAAGTCACTCAGGAAATAAATCCACAAAAAGTCATAACAGTAAATGCTTGAACTTACCTGAACAATCTCGCCTTTAACGTTCTGCAGACTTGTGCTCAACTGTTTGTCTACCAGAATAATGTGCGGGTCATCAACATATGACACGTACATCAGGGTCTGTGCAACAAAAGGCATTAGCATCCTCAGCTGGAGTATTTATTTAGAATATTCAGGATTTACACTGTATTGATTTGACCCATAACTAGGGTCCTCAGGGCCCAGATCCTGCATTCCTTATTCAGATAAAAATCTCTCTGAAGGTGCATGTTCATTGGGAGGCTGTTCCTGACATAGGGGGCAGCATGGAGGAAGGCCGGGCACTGGGAGCAGGTAAGGGAGACAAAGGGAACAGTCAGGTGTTAGCCCAGGGAGCAGGAAGAGAGGAGGTTGGAGCTGTAGGAGGGAGATGGATTGTACAAGGCTTTAGAGATAAACTTTTGAGCTGAGGTTTGGACACCTAACTCCCTTGGACTCCTTTGAAATCTCAGCCTAGAAGTTCAGCTGTTCAGCATGCCACAGTGATGTGTGCAGCGTGAATTTCTAGAGAGAAGGAGACTCTGGAGCTGAATGTGGACTGGAGCTGATGGACTTGAGAGAAACAAAACTATTTTCATGCAAATGCCCTCAACCGTTTCGTGGGGGGGAGAAGCTCTGAGGAATGCCTCTCTCTCAACCCGTGACCCAATCCTTACACAGCTGCAGCCCATGTGACATCCTCAGGCCCATACAGGTAGTGCATATATATTGTGTGCATGTGGCCTACATAACACATAGAGAGCTGCATATGTGGCCCACAATGGTAAATAGGTTGAGAACCACTGCTCTACAGCATCTTTCCACTGCTCTCTAAAGGGTGAAACCTGCCTCCTGCAACTGTCGCCTCCTGCAGCTGTCAAAGGTCCTGGCTGTAGTAGACCTGTGCAGAGGAGCAGCGTTCTGAGGGCTCAGGCCTTGGGTCCACAGCTTCCATGCACTGCAGAGCACAGCTCTGTGGGGTTTCCCAGAGGCCCCCTGCCTGAAGGATTTTGGGTAATGGCTGGCTGGGGGAGGAAGTGTGGACCCATAACTATAGGGACCCATTGGCCACTTTTCTGTGTAGCTGCAAGGAGTCCTACAGTGCTAAGATCCGCTCCTGCACTCACACCACTCCCCAGCATGCAACCCATTCCTGCAAGGTGCGCACTGGGGGCAGGAGAACTCAGACCAGCGGTGTATTGGGAACAAATCCACAGAGAGCTGATGAAGGACACAATGAAGGGCCCGATACACTGGATTCTCCTACTACTTTAAGCAGCTAATTGCATCCCTTACCCATTTTGGCCCCAGAGCAGACTCGCACTTCTTCCTGAAGTAATATTCCTTGATGGAATCTTTGCAGCAGGGATAAGTGTATGAAGTAATAAGAAAATCAATAACGAACTGAGCCTGCATGCAAAACAAAAGTGAGCAGTGATTCCATTTTCTTAATGAGACTGCGTCTCCCGAAGCCGCTCCATCAGTACAGGAAATAAATCTCTTACCAAGCCAAAGTAGGACAGCACAGACCCGATGTACACCAGCAGCTCAAAGATGTTAAACCGTCCAGCCTTAGGCAAAGCAGAAGAGAGTCATTTGAGAATTCAGATAATTTCCTTCAGTTTGCAGAAGAACGGCAACAATTGCTGCATGATCAGGCCCAGCCAAATTGCTGTCATGTGCAAGATTTCTAGCTCTTCTGACATGATCCGACTTAAAGCACCTAACCAGGTGGAATGTGTTTAAATTAAAGGGTAGTTTTGCTGCACCCAGCTGCGAACTAAGGGGTCCCTTTTAGCCATGCTATCTCCTGCTGGAAGGGTCCCTTGTCTTCTTCCAATCAGAGCCAGTCGCTTTCCCCAAGGTCCCCTTCCCAGCTGGAAGGGGAACCAGAGACAGGGAGCAAGTCCTCATCTGTACAATATTAAGCAATGGCACAAAGGCTCCAACTTCACCTATTCTCTCCCTTCAGCAGGAGCGTCCTTCCCCTCCGCCTCCAACAGCAGGAAAGAAGCAGCGCTCCCTTCCGGGTACATCGGTCCACCCTAACAAGGGCCCCAGGGCATTATCCCCCTCCTCCCTCATCCTCGGAGCTGAGAGTGGTACCTGCCAGGCCGGGAACGAGGGACCAAGCCTTGATCTCTGATCCCACAGCATGGCAAGGCCAAGTCCTGCCATTTGTTTGAAGATTCATTTGATAAGACTCGATCCTGCAAAGTGCCCAGGATCCTCCCCTCCCACTGGCACCCCACTGGCAAAATCAGGCCCTTCATTTCCGTAGTGCTTTGTAGATGTCAAACACTGTCCACCAGGGACAGTACGTAACCATAAAACCATGCCCTTCTACAGCACCTCCCCTCCAGTGACCTCAGTGCATGTTACGAACAGCAAGTGTCACAAGCCCCACCCTGCCGTAGGCACCAAGCACAGCCTCCGTTTTTCAAACAGGGGAACTGAGCCACAAAGAGCGGAAGAGACTTGTCCAAGGTCACACAGAAAATCACTGTCAGGATCAAGATTGTAACCAGGTCCCTGCCACGGTCCTATGCTGTAATCACTAGGCAGTGCTGTCTCCCGGAAGGGCTACACCGTTGTTATTACTGGAGTTATTTTTGCCGAAGGGCCAGAAATTCTCATTTCTTTTTGGAAGCAGACAGGTTTGCAGCGGTGATGAGAAAACAGGGTTGCACTTACTGTGCCGAAGACGAGGATATCGAATCGTATCCCATAGGCTTTGATCAGCGTCCGCTCCTCCTGCCCATTGGGCCGTTTGTAGTACTTCGCGAATCTGTCAAAACCAAACAAGGATCCATGCATCATGTCAGGGGAATTCAATGCCTCTGGGCTAGAGAATAAAATGGGGTTTTGGTTCTACTGCCTCCTCCCCTCTTTGCCTGTTTAGTATTGTACCCTCAGTCAAGAAGTCAAAGCTCTTCCTCTCCCAGGACCCAGGAGTGCTGCCACAGATTGTGGGTCACTTTGATGAACAGCATTTCACCCAGCTTAGAAAAATCAGAGCAATGCCCAGGAAGGGATCTGCTATCCTGAATCAAAGGGTTACTTTTAGCGGCTCTAGGGAGGCAGTCACCTACAGGAAAAGCAGAAAGAAAAACCCAGGAAGATTTTAGCAGCTGGCAATGGTGGGAACACTAGTGTCTCCCAGGCACCAGTGCTTTTACCGCTGTGTTGTCTGCACCTACTCTGAGCTCTTGGGGTCCCTTTCTTCCACTGGTTTTTATAGTCACTTTCTGCTGCTCTGTTTCAAAGCGTCTATGAGAGTATTAGCTACAGGGATAAAGGGCAGCTTTATAACTCATGTAGCTGCCTGGGACAGGGTCACACACCACCTCAGTTGCAGAAGTGAGAAAACTGACCCCCGCAACTCCTGAAACCCAGCCCCTTATTCTACTCACTACACAACACTCCTTCTCCTCATCCCCAAAGTCAATTACCATGAGAAATTCCACTGATAACACCAGCATAAGGATCAGCAAACAGGGACACTGTGAACATAGAACAAAGAGAATGCTCCCACCTGATGCTGAGAGACTTACTGAGAAATGTTCAATGACATTAAAATCTTAACTCCAATACTAACATTCGTATCACTCATGTCAGTGCGCCGGGCTCTTGCTGAAAGCACTGTCCTGTTCTTGATCAGTTTACTTCAGTATTTTCTAATGTGTGTTCTCTGTGGATTCATTTAGCCTAGTAATTCTGACTGTAATTTTTTTAGTGGGGTAAACAGGTGTCAGCTCTGTGGAGAGAAAGTAATTCAAGGTCGCAATGTCACTGCGGATGCCGATTTTATTTAGTGGTTAGTCTCCTGTGTAGTAACCAAAATCTCTGGTAAAAACAGGTGGTGCTCAATGGGAAATGGCCCCAAATGCCAGGCCATCAGCTTAGTCCTCTGCTCTCTAATTGCTCATCTCACAGATGGCATGAAAGCATCGAGGGAAATACAGTTTTCCCTCCTTCCCGGGTTTCAATTAATCTTGCCCCTCATCAGTATCCGGAGCCACGTCTGCCAGAACCACTGAACGACCCAACAATCCAGTTTGGAACTGCTCTCCACGGGCCATATTCTACCCAAGAGGAGGCAAACTCACTGGAACCCAAAAACAGCTAGCAAAAAGAGGGGCAGGGGGGCTGTCTCCATGGTTTGGTGCCCAATCTCATAGAAGCCCCTCTGTGGGTTCACTGCGGAGGTGGGGGTCTGGCTGGATTTGGCACCAAAACCAGGGAGTCGCTGAACTCTGCAGTATGCTTCCCTCAATTCCTTGCACGTATCCAATCAGGAGACTCTGCTCTGTGACTCATGCTACACTGCAGTGACTATGCTGCCAAGGACTCAGCAAGACGGCTGAGCAGCACTGTTTCCCCTTCACCCTAGACCCTGTGGATCCAAGCAAGAACAACCACCTGAGGCAGGAGGAGTTCCCGAGAGAGAAGTAGTACAACCCCACCCAGCCTGTATTATCTTCCTGTCATTCCTGCTTCCCACTTTATGTGGGGGATCCCCCTTGAAAGGCAGGACCCAAGGGCAGCTGCTGGCTTCGGAAGCCTTGTCAGCATGGCTCCGGTAGAGCCCCAGTGCCAGAGAGTTGGGGTGAGGGGGACACAGGGCTGCTAGGTGGACACAGAGGCAAAGGGTCTTTGCACAGGTGCCCCTGGCCTTCTGCTAATGCCCTCGAATCGATGTGTGGGCCCCGTGGTCTGTTCATGGGAGGAATCCTGTGCAAATTTCTTCCCTTAGCCCCTCCCATGGGTCTTCCCTCAGAGGGAGGCAACTAGCCCCTGGGCTCAGTTTTTACACAATCCTTAGTCAGGCAAATGGCTGTCAGGGCAAGTTTAAGGCCTGAACAAAAACTGAGGCAGGAGCAGTGGATTTGGCCCAACGCTCCTGAGTATTCAAGCACCACACTTCGAGGAGCATTTTACCCAGCACAGCAGTTTCTCGTCAGAAATCTCAGGACTGCCTGTAACTGCTGGGCCCGCTCCCGCAAGGTGCTGAGTGCCACCCACTTCCTGCAGTCAGTGGGAGTCGAGAGCACCTGCTCCTATTTGGGGTAGGACCCAAAAAGACAATGTTTCCTAAAGCTGTACATGGCAGGCAGTGAGTGTCTCTGTCATCGCCTTGATACCAGCAAATCAGCCATCAGCCAGCTTTCACTCACTCCCACCTGCTGCAGCACGGCTCCCTCCCATCTCAGTTCTGCAGAATTCTGAAGTGCTTTTAATCTGCATTCCATGTCTTGTGTTCATTAACTTCCCCTTTGCTGAGATCTGTTCTTAAGGCAGTGAGTGAGTCATTCAGCAACGCACAGTGTAATAGGTTCTGCTTTTCCTGGCTGCACAGACACGAAACACTCTTCTATCTTGTGTTCAATGTTTCGGTGATCTCTAGCTGAGGCATGTTTTCCTGGCCAGCACTCGGCTGAGCCTGCGTTGATGCCTGCAGCTCTGTGATGTTCGATTTTCAGGTTTTACCTATGTATTCAGGATCAGATAGTATTCCCCACACACAGGTGTTCTATCCCCAGGAGGAGAAGTCACTTTACATTTGCTGAGGACGTCACAGAAACTTTCTCCTTTGCAGCAGCTTCGTGCTCTGATTTGATATATTAAGAGCGTCATTGATGACCTGCTGTGCAGTGCCCCTTGCACCTCAAATGGTGCTTCGCATTTGTAGCCTAATCCTGATGCCTTTTAAGTCTATGGCAAAACTCCCTTTGAAACTCAGCTGAAGTCAACGGAGCTGCACGCAGGCGCTGATGTTCACCCACACAGAACAGTTTGCATGGTCAGGGCTTTGGACAATAACTTGACTTCCAGAACTTTATCCTCACTCAGATGATAAAAAGGTCCCTGAAATGTATTCCCCCTAGGATTACCCTTACGTAGCCTCACTCTCCTGTGACAAAGGCTCCCTGGACATCCTACAAGGACCTATTGCTCCCCAGACCTACCCAGGAATGCACAAGATATTTAATATGCTTTATTTTGCACTTTGCCATGTGACATTCTACCACATATAAAATTAGTTTGATTCAGTCACAATCAGTTGAGGGCAGGGCCCAATCCTGCAACCCTTACTCACCCGAGTAGTCATACTGAAGTCAATGCAGCTACACTATATTAGTAAATCTTACTCACATGTGCAATGGTTTTGCAGCATCTTTACAGAAAAAGCTCTCCTGACATGTGCACAGGAAAAGAGTGCCTGTGGGACAGCCTCTGGTCTCCCTTATTATGCCAGTGCAAATCTGGAGGAGTTCCAGTGGAGTCAGTGGAATTACTCCCGATTTACACCAGTGTAATTGAGAGCAGAATTCAGCCCCTTCACCAGGAAAAAATTAATCCTGGGCTGAGTTATTCTCAGAAGAACAATGGAGCTTTTTCCTTCAAAATTGTAAATGTGCTTGGAAAAAACAGCATGCTCCGAAAAGAAGTGGATTTTGTGCAGGGTTTCTTTTTCTTCTTGTTTTAATTAGTCTTGTCAGACGGGCCAATTTGCTATTAGGATCTAACCAATCCAAGGACTCATTGCCCATTAATCTTCACTTCCCTGCTTTGTAATTTTAAATTACACATTGTTGATGTTAAACTGCTGCACACAAATGCTCTTCTTCCTTTGTTTTTATTCTTTGAGAAAGTGGTGGGGGTTGGGTGGGGGATTTTCAATGCTCATGGAAGCAACTGATGAACAGCAGTAGCACTAGCCAGTCATCACATGACTTCTCCAAACAGGCATGCCATTCTGTGTTTCTTAAGCCCTGATTGGCCACACTTCCACAATGCCAGGGCTGGGCTTCCCTTGAGCAGAGCTAACTGTGCTGAACTGTAGCAAAACGATCTCGCTACAGATCTGTGTTTTGATATATTCAAATAATGTTCTTTATAAAGTGCCCTCCTGCTGAGGTGCGCTGCCCATTCATTTGATAACAAATATAAACATTCACAAAGCAACCTTGCTGTCCTTCAAAACCCTTCTGTGATGGCTACAAAAATTTGACAACACTTAGGGCGCTGGTGTCATTTACTCATGTCATGTCATGTCTTCCTTGCACACGGGAGGTTGGAAAGCAGCTACTAGGCTTCAGTTCTAGATCTGGACTGGCCACAGAGGGCCCATCATGGAGAGCGATACACAAGACGTATTCTCTTTAAGATATTTTTATGCACTGCCAGGTATGGCTGTTACCTGCTCAGGTACGGTATGTTACACACTGTACCATCTAGTGATTGAATGTTATAAAACACTTTTAGCATTCCATCACACTGAAACCATTTGCCCACCATGCTGATCCGCACTGTCTCATGGTTTCCTTGTGGTCCCCCGTCTGTCTGGCAGTATCCACTTGTTGCCTTTTGTCTTAGATTGTAAGCTCTTTTTGTTTTGTGTTCATAGAATCATAGAATACCAGGGTTGGAAAGGACCTCAGGAGGTCATCTAGTCCAACCCCCTGCTCAAAGCAGGACCAATCCTCAGACAGATTTTTGCCCCAGATCCCTAAATGGCCCCCCTCAAGGACTGAACTCACAACGCTGGGTTTCGCAGGCCAATGCTCAAACCACTGGGCTATCCCTCCCCACCGCTGTTTGTACAGCGCCCACCAGCACAACGGGGTGCTGGCCCATGGCTGGGGCTCCTAAGCACGATGGTAACTCCATTCAAACCCACAACGTAATAAAAGTCACACACAAGTCAAATAAAGGAAGACTACAACCCAGGGGGAAAGAGAAGGGATTTTAGGGGTCAGGCTCAGAACAGTGTGTGCACAGCTAGGTCCCCGATCATATGAGCTGTTTCAGGCAGGCAGCCAGGCAGGCAGACTCCTGTGCTATACATAGCCTCACTCAATGGAGCTCCATGCGGAAACAAAGATCCATTTGCATGGAACAGCTTGCAGGATTCGGATCTTAAGTTGCACATACATTCACTAGAACTATGCACATAGCCTCGGTAAATGCAAGCACAAACGACCAGTTGGATGCATGAGTGGTTGCTTGTGTGTGTGACAAGTCCGACTGATACTGCACAGGCAACTGTAGTAACTGTGCATGCAAGTTAGGTTCATCAGTACAACATTGGCTATTATAAAAAAGAAAGATCACAGCAGAAACCTGTGGCATAGTCAAGTATAACAGCCAGGGCTCCAGCACTCTAGCTACAAACCCCTCGGTTTCCGCCTACCTGATTCCACCTGCACACCCATATCACTCAAGCAATACAGACAATACACTGCTTTTCTATGTATGATTTTAAAAATATCTTTTACCTGAAGTTGTAACCAGGGTATTCAGTCGTCGTTTTGTCATCAAGGCGACGAAAACTGTACTTTGGACTGCAGCGGTGGAACCATTTGTCCAGGTTACAATCCCAGTTAATCTCAATGCCCATGATTCCGCCCTTGACACAGAAAGGGAAAACACACTTTAAATGCATTCAGGAGCACGACAAAAAAAAAAAAGACCGTGCCAGGCCTGGTTCTGAAATTGCTGTGCACCAAACTCCCATTGAAATCAGAGGAGATTTGAATGTGGCCCAATGGCAGGATCACACCTATAAATACACTTATACTTAAGATGTATTTCTACCTCTAGCAAAGACTTCCTTCTAAGTGACTTAATTAACTACACAGATCAAACTAGCTACAAGCTAGAATTCATTCAGATTCTTAAGGCGTCTCTTATTTTTTGGCCAATTTCTCATCCTACCAACAAAAATTCCAACTTCATTGCCACTTCATTCAATTAAACTGTCGGAGAACTGCTTCCACAAAACTAAAGATGGGCTCAAACTAAAATCCCAAACGCAAACTCCCATTAATTTTGCAGGGGATCTGGGATCCAGAGCTGAATGTTGCAGCTTTGATGGTATTGCGGACCGGGACCTCAGGAGAACTGGGTTTGGTTTCTGGCTCTGAGCAAATCACTTCATATTTCTGTATCTCCATTTCACCCATCTGTAATTATCAATCTTACAGAGGCGTTGTGAGGCAGAAGCCTGGTCTACACTACAAAGTTAGGTTGACGTAAGGCGCCTTTCATTGACCGAGTTGCGCACATGTCTACACTTAAATTTGTCTCTCACAGATGTAAAGTGCTCCGTTATGGCAACGCAGTAACACCACTTCCCAGAGTGGTGTTGAGCTATGGTAGATGTACTGAGGTCAATGCAGCACAGGTGTAGACACTATGTCAACTGACCCTAACAGTCCTCCAGCAGTTGTCCCACAAAGCCTGACACTGACCACTCTGGTGACAATTGTAGCCTGATCTATAGATTTTGTATTAATGATATTGATTAATTAAGAGTGGATGGGAGAAAGGCCAAGGAGACCCAGCAGGAAAAGGAGAGGAAGATGCACCAGGACGTAATGGGGCTTCTCCAGCAGCAAACACAGATGCTGCAGACTCTTGTGGACCTACAGCGTCACAAACCACAGGCTCACCTCCCTTTGCACTGCGTGGAGAACTCAATTACAGCAGCTCCCTAAACCCCCATCAACATTCCACATGGCATCAGGGGCTGCATCCTTACCCCTACCACTCCACACCAGGGGACTGTAAGGCCCACCACTGCTTCATGTATATTGACCTGTGAGAGGCATGGTAGCTATAAGTTTAGTGAAAATAGACATGAATGTTCCTTCCTCTTGTTAACTTCTGTTCCATTAATTTATTTACTTGCTTTTAACGTGCACAGAATGGTTTTTGCATGCGCACATACTAACTGCACCGGCTGTATGCCGACATAACTTGCGGCAGCAAAAGTTTATAGTGTAGACATGGTCTTAGGGTACATCCACACTGCAATGAGAGGTGGGACTGTAGATACACCCAAGCTAGCTTTGATCTAGCTAGTTTGACTAACCACAACAGTGAAGCTGCAGCAACCCGGGCTGCACAATGGGAGCCTGAGTATGTGCTTGAGTGGCTAGCCTTGGGCTGCCAGGACTTCACTGCTATTGTTATTTGGGCTAGGTGGATCAAAGCTAGCACAGGTATTTCTATGTCTATGCTGCAGTCACACCTCTCACAGCAGCGAAGACAGACCCTCAAAGCTGGTCTACACTGAAAAGTTACATCGCCATGGTTCTCTCTCTCAGGGGTGTGAAAAATCCATACCCCTGAGAGACGTCATTAACCCAACCTAACCCCCAGTGGAGACAGAGCTAGGTCGTCAGAAGAATTCTTGTGCCAGCCTAACATTTGTGGAGGTGGGGGGGAATCTTTCCCCCGAATACATGGCTCAAGGTGCCCTTTAACAGAATCCTGCGGAGAGGAAGAGTTGACTGGCCTGAGAAGACTGTTTAACTACTGACAATGACATCCAACGTGTATTAAATCAATATGGGCCCAATCCTAGAAGATGTTGCGCACCCTCAATTCTCATTAAACTCTGCAGAGTTGAGGGTGCCCAGTACCTCCCAGGATCAGCCCTTAAAACTGGAACAATTCCATTGTTTGCAACGTTTAACAATTAAAATGAACAAGAAATACTATGGAGGTGTTCTGAATGGAAGACAGAAATCATGCCACAGACCTGAATTGCCATCTCTGAAAAATTTTCTCCTGTTGTTCGGAGAATATCTCCCAGCTGGAAAATTGGGCAGGCTGGTGCAGTTATCTTGTTGAATGTGCACGAAATATTCAATTTTGGTGAAAAGTTTCTTCTGCAAAGAACCACAAGTTATTTGAAAACATAAATGTGAGCTCTTCCCTGAAAAAGCATCTACAAATGCTATTGAGGGGCTCCCTGCTCATTGCTCGTCCCTGAACCTGTATCAAATGCACAGGCGCCGACTCTGTGGGTGCTCCGGGGCTGGAGCACCCACGGGGAAAAATTAGTGGGTGCTTTGCACCCACCGGCAGCCAAGCTCGCCGCCCTGCCCCACCTCACCACCTCCTCTGCCTCCTCCCCTGAGCGTGCCGTGTCCCCACTCCTCCGCCTGCCTCCCAGCACTTGCCGCCGCCAAACAGCTGTAGCAAGCTCCGGGAGGGAGGGGGGAGGAGCGGAGACGTGGCACGCTCAGGGGAGGAGGCAGGGAAGAGGCGGGGCCGGGGCGGGGATTTGGGGAAGGAGTTGGAATAGGGGCAGGGACTTTGGGGAAGGGATTGGAATGGGGGTGGGAGAGGGCAGGACAGGGGTGGAGTCGGGGCGGGGCCAGGGGCAGAGAGGGGTCGAGCACCCACTGGTGCCAGTAGAAGTCGGCACCTATGATCAAATGTACTCAGTTTACTAGTAGAATATGGGGGGACTTTGTAACTACCAGCTCTGCAAATTCCACGTGGGGTCTGAGAGTCAAGCTGGGTCCTTTAGTACTTGGGCATCATCACCAGTAACAAAGGCTTTGCAGATCAAATTATTCCCTCAGTGACACCCGTGCAACCCAATTCTCTTCAAATTATGCCCTCAGTGACACTTATGTTATCCTATGCCTTCAGTGGTTTTACCCTGGTGTAGCCAATTAGAACTTAGTAATTTTGTTACTAATGCATGAGAAGGAATAGAGTCCATCTCACTGTCCTATAGCTGTATTGGGTCCTGCAAGGTTAAGAATAAAGAGCAATCAAACCTGATTTTTGTCACTCAGCATAGCAGATACAGCCCTAAATACACAGAGAAGCTGCAGACTGAAGGTGCTTTATTTACACATTCATTTTTGGAGTAGAACTGCTCTTTAAGAGGAGATGGATGAATGTTTGCACTTACGCAGTGTGATTAAATTTTGGGAAGTGGATATTGTTCTTTATTAACACTGTGAAGTTTTCAGCGCTCTTCAGAACGGCAGGCCTAAAAGAGGAACATATCAAGTACAATGAAAGCTGTTAAACCAACTATCTTCCTTTAGTTAAATACATCAATTAATGCTACACTATTTTGCTATTACCTGGGAAATTGTCAGTAGGAGAACATGATACTGAGAATAATGAGTTAGATGGCTCAGGGGGTTGAGAATAGAATACATAGCTTTCTTGGTTTTACTTATAAACTTAAATTGTCAGTTCTCTGGGGGCAGGGACTGTCTTTTAGACTTGTTTGTATAGTAGCTACACAATGGGGCCTGATTCTGACTGGGGTCCCCAGATGCTATTGTAATACAAATAAATAATAATAGGGGATTGTTAATTTGAAATCTGGCCATTGATCAGTCGTGACTGACGTTATCATGTGATGGCTGTGGCTTATGGGAAATTAGCTGGTGTGTTCATTGCAGTTCCCAGTAGACAGATGGCACAGATTATAAAAATGAGATGTTGAACTACATTCTCCTCCATGGAGGTGTCCCTCCAGGTCAGAGTTCAGTCACATCAGCTGGACCATGTGAAGAAAGCTTGCTCTGCTACTACCCAGGTCATCCCTGTTTGGTGGAAAAATAGAGGAATTCAACTTCCAGCATTGTCAACCTGGCACCAGCACAAAATTAGCTTTGAAAAATAACTTATTGCGAGAGGATGTCAGCCAAGACACTGGCTTCTCCCATTCTCTTTTCAAAATGGGCCAGGAGAGCTTTGATTTTCACCTAGAAAGCCCCCACAGGTGGACACAAATGGTCCCTGAAGCAGCGACCCATCCAAAGGACAGTACTTCGGAGCATTCTCCTTAGTACATCATTGTATTAGCAGCAGAGTCTCTGAGCCAAAGACCTGCAAGGACAGGAAATACTTCAGCAAGCTGAGACAGTGTCAATGACAGACTTTTCAGCATGTCTCCTAAGGAAATTGAAAAAGCAGGTGTTGGCTGCAACCCAAATTTAAACATTTTGAGACATCATCTGAACAATTAGAATTTCTAACCAGTCTTCAGTTTATAATGGTCAAGAAATGAATAATGTATGTTGAACTTTAACAAACTAAAAACAGATTAATCAAAAATTTTTAAACTGCTTATGCTTTCAGGACAGACACCTGGGAATCTCTCCAGACCTCTTCTATGAGGGTGCTGTAAACATTTGTCCTTAGGTAAGTTTATCCAGGTCACTTTGCCTGGCATTGCACAGAGCTGGAGACCAATCAAAACAAAAGAAAGGGAAGTGTCTTGACAAGAAGTTTACAGTTTTGTTCAGTTTCAACCATCACAAAAGGGAAGGGAAGGGAAGGGAAGTGCTCTTTATAATGCACAGAACTTGCACAGAAAAGCCAATTGCGGGTATAGCTGAGAACCAGCATTGTTCTGCCAGAAGTCGATATTTGAAGGCACCAGGCTAGAGACTTCCATACAGGTTGTTTCGCTTATTCATTCAAGTTGCAGAGAAACACTCATATTACCCATTTAGTGACTGCCATGAACTCTTGCCAGTGGATTTTGTGAAGAATTCTCATAATGTGATTTGCCATCCTGGCTCCGAATATTGGTTCATCGGTTTTGGTCTCCTGGCACTGACCAATCGCTGATACATTAGAGGAAAATTGGACAACAATATGGACACTCTGCCAATTGTGCAAGGTAAATAAAGGCAAAATCTCTTTCCTGCTGTGTGCAGCTACCAGCTTGCGCAGTGCAACGTTTGAAAATATTAAATATTCACTGCAGTTACACTGAAAAAAACCAAGAGGTTTAACAACTTGGGTGTTCATTAAGCTGCCCTGCATGACCATCACAAGAAATCTCTTGATTTTTTATGTGAATTTGGGACTCGACCTTGCAAGGTGTTAACCAGCCTTGACTTCCATTGATGCCAATAGGAATTGAGAGTACTCAGCAGCATGCGGGGTTGGAGCCCTAAAGTGGGATTTTCAAAAGGGCTCAGGCCTCAGCCCCCAATGAGACTTTTACCACTGACTTCAAGGAGAGAAGAGTTAAGCCAATCGTGGGATCCTCTATCAATGGAGCAAAGACAGCACTGGCAGCTTCCCCTGTGCCTGCCTCACAACCTGGAGGGCCTACCCCTTGGGATATGTTTAGTTTTAGTTTAGTTTCCCTGGCCTATTTAGTCCTTGGTATCTCTGCTGGAACTGCCAACAAGTGGGCAAATCAATATTCATTGGACTGCTGGGTTTTGTGGTGTGGACACATCAGTTCAGCAGGTGGACTATTAAACACTAGCCTAGTCTCTGTGGGTAAGCCTACCAAACCACATGCAGTGGTAGTGAGGGGAGAAGAAAGCAAAACCATATCATGGGCTAAATACACGGCTAGTGTAGTGGCACGGCTCCATTTAAGTCAAAGGAGCTGCACCAATTTACTCTAGCAGAGAATTTGCCCTGTATATCTTTTCTAAGCAGCAAGGGCTAGTTTAGTACAAGAGACATAGTTCAAAAGCTGCTACATATCAGGGTTTGGTAGAAGCAATATTATATCCTGGGGCTTCAAGTGGAGAATATTTTTGCATTGCACATGTGAATGAAATCAAATGACCATATTTACATTTTTTGCCTGATACAAATGAGTAACTACATGTTAAAGTGGAACCCTTACATCACAGAACACTTTACAATCATGGGATCATACAAATTAGATGTGGAAGAGAGCTACTAGGTGTTATAGTCTACTCCAGTATATTTTATAGAGCATAGTTCAATCCAATTGTACATGTTACCAGCACTAGGCCTTTCACGACTTCCCTTGGACTGATCCACAGTCAGAATTAGCAAATGTTTCTCATGAGACTTATCAGGTTTGCCACATTTTTCCTTGCCATCCTCATTAATTATCAAAATGCCTGTAGTGAATCCATGACAAATTTGTGACATCTAGAATTGTTCTCATGGCAACAGACTGTGATGTCACAAGCTTGGATTTATTACTTCACCACGAGATCAGAGAGAAAGAGAAGCCACTACAAGCAAATTGATGGTACTTAATTTATAAAAATAAGAGTTAATAATAATAAAAGTTGGGTTGGAAACAAATGTTTTACAAACAAAGGTACCAAGGGCCCTCTGCCAGGTGCTGAGCACCGTCAGATCCTATTGTCTTGCAGGATCCGGCCCTTATTGATTACATAAAAATGTGAACACTTTTACTTACACTGGGGCACCTTTCATTGATTCCACAGGGCACCAGGCAGAGACTTCACAGGTTTTAATGGTTGCATTATACTTCACACATCTTCCTGTCTGAATTCCTGAACAGAAGAAAAGTTAGCTATTATTGAGCTCACACACAGTTTGACTGAGTCCTTTGGATAACACAGTCTCAAAGTATTGGTGGGTCTCTACACACAGGTAGGACAGAGACTTGAAACTCAGAGTCAAGGTTTTGATTTTCGCACCTCTTTGTGGGCTGAAGTAGCTGTAGGAGGGGTTATCAGATCCATGCTTCCACTACACAAGCACAGTGCTTAACTCCTCCCCTTGCCCCTGTCAATACTGCACATTGGATGTGGGTGAAGGATTTTCTCCATAGTTGTGCCGGAGTAACAATATTTAAGAGTTTGTAGGGCTTAATTCAACAATATGAGCAAATTAGAGCAAGAACTTCACCCCACAGCACTGTCAGCAAGATGTCACTCAGACAATGAAACACAAGCTAACTATTACACCATCAGAGACAACTCCTATTAGCTATCAGTGTCCTAGAAGGTAGGACAAATTTTTAGAACTAATTAACCTTTCTGAGGGTATCAAAGACAACATAGCCTTAAATAGAGCTTGATCTTTGTGACGTTATTAATATGAAGTGTAACAGTATAGATCCTTGTTGCAACCACTGTTATATATTTGCAGCAAATATTGTACAAAGGTTGTTGTGTGAGGTGTCTATGGAAAGGTTATGATTTGCTGATTATGATTATGCTAGCTGTATGTGTGTATAATTTTTGTAGCTGAAGTTATGAATATTGGCTATGTACTTGTATTTTGGTTCTAAGTAGCCTTAGTAAAGCATTTGGTCAGCTTCTTGAGAAAGGAATTTGCAAGTTAAGTGCCCAATCAAGAAACACTTAACTGACAATAGACCTTGGAAGACTCCAATACACATAAGAAGTCTTCCTGGGGATGTTCAAGATAGCATGTGAGCAATGGCTGCCACCTGTAAAGAACTGAGTCATGCATGGACATGTGGTTTGCCCATGTGACTCCAGGCTCCATCTTGCTGCTGTGATCTTCCACAGAGCAGAGTATATAAAAGGCCCTGAAAACTCCTCCATTTTGTCTTCAATCCTGCTTCTTGCCTCTGGAGGAACTTGGCTACAAAACAAAGCTCCGAACAAAGGACTGAATGACCCATCCCAGCTGTGGATGTACTCCAGAGACTTGATTTGAACTGCAGTTTGTTCTATCACTGCTACAAGCCTGAACCAAGAACTTTGCCATTACTGTATGTAATTGATTCCAGTTAACCAAATCTAGCTCTCATCTATATCCTTTTCCTTTTATGAATAAACCTTTAGATTTTAGATTCTAAAGGATTGGCAACAGCGTGATTTGTGGGTAAGATCTGATTTGTGTATTGACCTGGGTCTGGGGCTCGATCCTTTGGGATTGGGAGAACCTTTTTCTTTTACTGGGGTATTGGTTTTCATAACCATTCATCCCCATAATGAGTGGTACTGGTGGTGATACTGGGAAACTGGAGTGTCTAAGGGAATTGCTTGTGTGACTTATGGTTAGCCAGTGGGGTAAGACCAAAGTCCTCTCTGTTTGGCTGGTTTGGTTTGCCTTGATAGTAAAGGAACTCCAGCTTTGGGCTGTAACTGCTCTGCTCTAAGCAATTTGTCCTGAATTGACACTCTTAGAAGTGTCCCACCAGAACCAGTATCGTTACAATCTTGCAGTCACTCTACATGCTGAACTGTCACTGACTGCAATGTGAATTACACCTGTAGAAAGCACTGCAGGAGTGGGCTCAATATGTACTGTGGTATCTGATTTGCATCCCCCCCTACATCCCCCCTTTCTGTGGCCCCCCCCCCCCCCGCCCATTCCCACCTTTTTGTTAACATTCTCCACAGGGTGGAAAAAAATCCAGGTGAGTGAATACAAATTTCATGTCATTCTCCTTGCTGCTCCTTTTGTTTCCATCTCCCACTCTTGTCTTTATGCCTCCCTCCTCACCACCCACTGTGCTTGGAAGTTCATCTCCCTAGTCAGATAGATCTGCATACACAATTGCCAGTGGGTGTTGCACCAGTATATCTCAGAGCAGAATTTGGCTCTACAGTTGCAAATTCTCCAAGACTGGTACCTCATAATTTCTTTAACCATCTAATAATTATTAACTAAAAGACAGTTGCATTTCACCACCTGCTATGAGTTTTAAAATCTGAATGTGGAATCCATGTACCATTACTCTGGGGGTTCATGTGTCCTTTTTCACAGCTCACATCTGAAGAGCAGACAGCTTTGGCAATGGGGTACTGAAAAAGACATCAATATAAAAGACCATTAAAAATATCTACCTCTCTATTGCTATTGTAAAATGTTCTACACAGAAATGGCAAACAGTAAGATGAAATCACAGAGCGAGAGGCAGAACAGAGGAAGTGCAGCCCTCTTCCATAACCCATTCACTCAGCGTGGTGCTTAATGTGACCTCAGTTTTTGAGAAGGTCAGTACAAGCAAAGACTGAATGGGACAAATTCATCTCAAGTGTAATCTCTTGGCTTCACTGGAGTTAGCCCATGGATTGATTTGTCCAGTGAATCTGATTTAAAAAAAAACACACCAATGATATAGGAAATGCAAGGAAGTTGTACCTAAGCGCCCTGAGTTTCTGGGACAATACATCAAATTCAGTTTTGGTTACACCCATGCCACTTTCTCCCTTCATTGCCAATAGGATTGCAGCTGAGGATTTTGATTAATCAATTTAATTACTTTACATATCAAATATTTTTAAAAACTGACTATCAGAATAAACCAAAGGCTTCTGAGGGATTCAAGTTGCAGCCACAAAAGAATTCAAGAAAATATTCATGGTCCTGTTCCATATAGACCTGTAGAACATAAGCAGGTTTGCTGAGTTCTCCTCATCAAATCCCCCTCAATGCACAAATAGCAAATAGGCTGGTTTTTATCATCCATCTCTCTCTCTCTGCAATTCTCTGGTATCACTCTGATGCTTTGGCATCAGTGATTTTAGGGTACAGACAGAGAATAGAATATAATCTTTTGACAAGCTTGGACATGTACTGTAAGATATTGCTATGTCTATCAGTGGCATGGAATTTATTTCTGTCTGTTTCACACTCATCAAGAGTAGATTGATATGTGTTTTATGCAGGTCTCTGGAGCTGTGCTCCAGCTCCGCTCCAGCTCCAGGCAAAAACCTGCAGCTCCACTGCTCCAGAGCTGCTCCGCGCTCCAGCTCTGCGCTCCGCTCCAAAGCCCTGGTTTTATGTATGCTTGTTTTAAAAAAAATAATTTAATAGTTGAGGCCAGCTTGCACATTCAAAAATGTGCATGCATTTGTGTGCCCACATTTTCATACCCAATGATAACAACTTCCTATCTAAATACCCAGTTGCATGTGCAAATACTTGATTTGCAAAGACAAGTGTGGTCTCTATGTTGTGATGAAAGTGATTAAATCTGCATGCATTTTTGTGTCTCTGTGCCTCAGGTCTCTGTCCATACAAATTTGGTCCTTAGTTATTAACTAACTACTGTATTTGTTTTATACATCAAAACTGTAAAACAGAACAGATGAGGTAAAGAGCCTCTGGTAGCTTTTGATTTTTTAACTTTCCTTGTTTTCCTTTTTAAATTTGTTAGTCTCTAAGGTGCCACAAGTACTCCTGTTATTTTTGCGGATACAGACTAACACGGCTGCTACTCTGAAACTTAACTTTCCTTGGTTTGCAGTAACATTTCTTTCCCTATCATTTGTATCCTTTTCCATTTGGCGAACACTGAGTCTCACCAAGCCAGTCTGACAGTGGATTGTTTAGTTCCTTGTTTGTTAAGAGCACGTACACGCTGTAGCCAATGACAGTCAACTCATTGCTGCGAACTCAGGTCTCTTCTAATAACTATATGAATGAACGCATAGGAGAACTGCAAGTGGCTACAAATTTTGACCACAGATAAAAGAAAAAGACCCAAGCATGATCAAGCTTAGAATTACAGCACAGCAGATTACTGCAGAGAAGCTGGCAACAATTCTCTAACCCCACTGGTCCTCCTAGTTGCACTTTATACCAGCAGGGAATCCAACTGTGTTGAACAAGAGGCACAAATGCATGGGGAGAGTGTGACCCAGGCGCACGTTTAGCTGCAGGGTCTTTGGTGTGGTACATCACACCAATGCCAGTTGATTCACTAAGAAAAGCAAAAGAGCAGAGGGGAAAAAAGGAGTGTAACTAGACTAGTTGTTGCATGTTGCTGAACGAAATAAAGAAGCAGAGGAAGACAAAGCAATGTTCACTTGTGCAAAATTGCCGTAGTCATGAGCCACTAATTAATAATTGCGGCTGCTATGGATTACTTCTGCCAAAGAATGCTACGTTATGCAGGTGGGAAATCACTTACAAAATGCAGTTACCTCAGGGCAAACATTTTGAAACTGGTTTTCCGTCATAATTATGTTGGTTATCACGAAAAAAGAGTCTATTCCCTATACAGAGAGAAAATAAAACAGTAAGTATCAATAAAATACTATGTGCCACATTCTGATCTCAGTCTCCCCTGTGTTAATCCGGAAGGACACCACTAAAGACACATGGGCCTGGTTCTAATCTCACTCACACCAGCGTAAATCAGGAGTAACTCCATTGAACTCAATAAAGTTCTTCCACTGTAAAACTGGTGAAGGATCCATATTTGGATCTCAGTGATGCTAGTGTAAATCAGGAATAATTCTATTAACTTCAGTGGAATTACACCAGGACTGAATTTTTTCCTACACATTCTTTTACTAAAATCAAAAATTATTTGTGGTAGAAACATCAAGTTTCTTAAAATCCCATAAAAGACATTTTTAAATATTTTTTTCCATGCTTAAAAGTTACTGCTTCTAATTTACAACCTTCTTAATTCACGCTCACAAATACAACTGCATCTCGTTGATATGTTAAAATCACTGTGCAGTAGGACAAAGACACATGCCAGCCAAGCAACAGCACTGATCAATGGAAGTCGGACGCTGCGCTGACCTTAAACTGAGACTCACCTGCATGGGAATAGTGTATTCGGCTGTGTCCCAGATTCTTGAGTCAGTCTGAACTACTCCTTTCACTTTAGTATGAATTGAGCTGATCACAGAGTCCTTTTTCTGATACCGTTTGTCAGTGACAAGCACATAACTAACCAAACAAAATGGAAAGCACAAATGAACCCACTGAAATGGGTTGAAATGACAGTCATTTTTTGGCATCATGATTAGAAAAAGTGTACTGTAAATTAAAAGCCATATTAAATTTGTTCAAGGAATTTGGGATCTTATCATGCGTTGAATGCATTTGTTAGGCCAACATCTCCCTCAGTGATACCACCGCAATCCCATTGACTCTGATGGGATTGCACTGATGTATGTAAGAGACATTTTTTAGTGTAGTTCTGGACTATTAGGGTGAAATCCTGGCCCCACTGAAATCAATGGCAAAGTTCCCCACTAATTTCAAGGGGGCTTGAAACAGCTCCCTTTGCATTCCCTCTCGTGCAAAGGGCACATGACAAGGGACCCATTAAAAGCGGTACCAATCGCAGCTTACAAGTCTCTTCAAATTGCTTACTGTCATCTTCATGTGTTAAAAGGTCAATCTGAAAGGCTTCTCTTTAAAGTAAAATCAGGCTTTCCGTATGCTACTGTTATTCTTAAAGAGTCACTGCCAACTTAAACTTGGCCTAATATTTGCATGGTGTAAAAACAAGTTTTTATAAAACCTATGGCCAATATAAAGCTATCACACTCCAGCTAAATACACCGCTACCTTGATATAACGCAACCCGATATAACATGAATTCGGATATAACACGGTAAAGCAGTGCTCCAGGGGGTGTGTGGCTGCGCACTCCGGTAGATCAAAGCAAGTTCAATATAACACGGTTTCACCTGTAACGCGGTAAGATTTTTTGGCTCCCGAGGACAGCGTTATATCGAGGTAGAGGTGTAGTTGTTTGGAAAGAAAGAAATAGCCACTCACCCCACCTCTGCAGCTTCTGGCACCCAAAAACTGCAGCACTAACGACCTGAAAGTGTCTCTATTGTCTTGGGTAACATTTTAAAAAATGCCTAAGTGACTTTGGAGTCTAAGTTCCATTGACTTTCAATGAGACAGACTCCTAAGTCATTTAGGCGCTTTTCAAACTTTTACCCTTGATGTATTTTTACTGTCCAAGCTGAGAGAAATGGAAAAAGTAAACAAAGGGCATAAATAGTGCCTCCTAAACTGGATTCTACACCAAGAGTTTAAAAAGTGATTAATGATTTTGGATGTCTCAATTTTGGGTCCCTAAATAAAGAACATTAAAGGGGCCTGACTTCTAGAAAGCGCTGAGCCCTCTGCCCTTTGAAAATCAAGCCCTTTCAGGAGTTTCAGGTTAAACACCCCAAATCACTAACCGGTTTGGAAAACGTAGGCCTGAACATTTTCACTCTCTTAATAATCTAATGCTTACCAACAACATAAGGAAGGAAATATGTTTGTTTACAATATTTTTTTTTAAAGTTGACAGTGACCTTTTAAGAGTCACTGGCATCCATTGCTTCTGCAGCATGAGGTGTGCAAATGTGATGGGTCAAACTCATGAAACTGAAGACACTTTCCACATTAAATAACGTCATATAAAAAGGGTTTCCTTTCACAGACAAGTCTGTGATTTAGTTGACTGAGTCAGCCCTATTTCAGTTAACAAATAAAAATTTCAGGGGTGAAAAACGCTCTAAAATGTGTAAGTGTGAAGTGACTGACTACACCAATTGTCAGTTTGAAAATCACTCCTAATCTGCCTCGGAGGTGTTTTCTACAGTCAGTCTTTCCCCTCTTGAGAAGAGTGATTTGGGACAGTCATGCTGCTGACATCTGGCTGTGTGAGAAAACAGCTCTCAGCAACAATTTGGAAATGGTGCCTTAATTAGGCAATAGAACTTCTTACAAGTTTATTGCCAATGAAATTGGTAGCAGATGCTCAATGTGTAAAAGCACCCTTCTGTAATAATTAAACATATTTTATGAATAACTAAAGACATTGGTCAGCAAATAATATTGCTGAAAGCAGCCCCAGGTCTGAGGCAAACAGGAAAACATCTGCCCTTTATGATCCAGACCTATGCACTTAATTGTCATGAAACCCTGTTTCTAAGATTTGATGTTCTAGGTGACCCTTCGTGCAACTTGAATAGCAGATCTAGCCTGGACTCTCAAGGCCAGGTTCTGATTTCAGTTACATGAGTGTAAATCTCAGATAACTCTACTGACTGTGCAAATGAAACCAGACAGCACTGTTGGGAAAGAAACTACATTCAGGCACTAGTTACTCAGAGGATTAGAGAGGGGAATATGCAGGACCACACCTCCAGCAGCCAACTCCCTGTTCTAAACAGCCACGCTATAGTATCCCTCCCGTTACCATACAATACTGACCAGCCTTTAAAAAACAGCTAAACAACTGATTTATGTTGGTCCTCTAGCACAGAGTGAAAAAGTTCTCTGTACTTGTTGAAGGCTGAGTCCTAAGCATGCAGACAATCACCCACATAAGAAACACATTTGCTCATCTAGTCACTTTTAACTTACCAAACATACAGGAAGACAACCATATGGAAGGTCCATTTCAAACTCCCATAGGAAACGCTCTGAAAACGGACAACTTTAGAAGTTTCATATTCACACAAATTCTTCAAACTGCAAAATGCACCCATTGTTATCACTTCCTCTGGAATCTACCCTCTCGAGAACTGTAGCCACTTGATTCTGTCTACTTCCACCCCCACAACTCCCTTAGGCAGGCCACACCACTTAAAGGCACAGTAAGAAAAGCGTTTGCATTACTAGCATGGAAGCTGAATAAGAGAAACTGAGTATGTTATGCTCTTTAAAGAAAGATCATTCGTTATTGTTAATCAGTAGCAAGAAAATGGGTTAAAGCGTGCCATCTGCTTTACCTATGGGCAAACAAAATACAAAGAGCCATATTAATCCCTGTTGTATCTTCATTAAAATCAAAGGAATTACGCAAGGGATGAATTTGGACCGTTTGTTGACTAAAATACAATGGTCCACAGCCACCCACACTATGTTGGACAAAGACAGTTTTCAGAGGAGGAATATTTCTGGAATTCCTTTTGATTGGACATTGCAAATATGCTTTAACATTTTGAATATTCAGGACTTTTAAAAAGCAAAAACATAAGTGTCAGATGCATTAATACTCCTGTGATGTCCTCCAAATAACCTGGCTATTCATATCGATGTCCTGGGATCCAAGATCTAATTTCCTGCTAAATTCTCAGCCATGATCCTTCTGTTGGCAAATTCTTATCCTTCTGAATGTCCACTGGAAATCTTGTTCGCGGTGTTGTTGTAGCCATGTTGGTCCCAGGATGTTAGAGAGACAAGAAGTTTGTCCAATAAAAGATATCACCTCACCCAGTTTGTCACTGGAAATCTTGATTCTTACTGAACAAATCGGAATGTGCCAGACACCCATTGAAGGCTCATGAGCTGTAGAGAGGCTCTTGAGGGCTGGTGAATGCCCTCAAATCCTACTGATTTCACTTGGCATCTCACAGGGTCAGACTTCATTAGTTTAAAATGTGCATTAGGGGCCTGGTCCCACAGCCTGAAGTCAATAGAGTTTTTCAATAAACTTCTATGGAAGTAGTAGCAGAGTTAAAATCCAGCAACAGCCTCTCACTTACCCTAGCCCAAGCTAGGAAGCCTTAAAGAATGCACTGGGCCTGAGAGAAAGCAGATGGGAAAGCGAGCTGTGTTATCCACCTGTTTCTCCTTCAGGCCTCCAGAGCACCTAGAACTGCCCAGGGCAGCTCACAGCCTGTGTCACTGTCTCCGCTCAACAGCACCATCTCCAAATGCCACTACAGTCCATCTGTTCTGTTTCTTTATGATCCCACTGACAGAAGATTACATGGGGTAGAGACATGAGAACAGGAAGGAGAAGAAAGATCTGCTATCTAACCAGCATTTGTTACTGGCTTGTTGTATGGCCTTATTAATAGGTTCCAAGGCCAGAAGGGACCATTGTGATCTTCTAGTCTGACCGGACAGGGCAGGTAAACAAACCGGCCCGGCCCACCAGGGGCTTTCCCTGCACAAGCGGCGTCCCAAGTTTGGGAAACACTGACATAGGCCATAGAACTTCCCCCAAATAATTCCCAGAGCAGACCTTTTAGCAAAACATCCACTCTTGATATAAAAATTGTCAGTGATGAAGAATCCACCCTTGGAGAATCTTGGTCAACTCATTTTCCCTCTCGGTGCTTCCTGTTCCTCCTCTGTAAAACAGGAGCGATGAGACATATGCACCTGCCAGGGATTCATCGTTAATGTTTATGAAATGGGTTGCTTGGTCTCAGTCCAGTTCCCAGGGGACAGGTATCCACATGAGAGAGCCCACAAAAGTCACTAGCTGGCTCCATTGTTAGTATTCTCAGCAGAGGCCAAGGATTGAAGGGATCATAAAGACTCTTCTTTGCGTATGTGCAATGTGCCTCAGGTGGCACATGACCAGGATTAATCACTGAAGACTGATCTCCTCTCTCTGTTCCTTGCAGGTCCAGGTAGACAGGCACAGGAGAGGAACAGTAGAGGATACTTGAGCTGTTTCTGCCTTGGCTGTATGTGCTCTATTGATACATTTATGGCTCTCAACCCAGCCCCTCTCATCAACACCAAATTCACAGGACATTTTTAGAAATAAATTAAGAAGCTCCAGAGCCAGCAGAGGGTGACAACTATGCTTTGCAGGATGACATCCTTGTTCTCCAAGAGAGGGCAGTGCTACCTCAACACAGGCCAAAATATCACCATAAGACAGCGTCCCAGCCAGGGATTCACTGTGCAATAGTCCAAATCCATTGAAGCAACTTTGCATTGCTCTGATCTACCTACAAAGGCTAATAGGACACACCTGAGTATGCCCTAGGGGTTTGAAAACATTGGGCTAGGGTATGTCTACACTGGAAACTTCAAAGCGCTGCTGCGGGAACGCTCCCGCGGCAGCGCTTTGAAGTGCGAGTGTGGTCGTGCGCGAGCGCTGGGAGAGAGTTCTGGTAATCCACCTCCACAAGGGGATTAGCTCCAAGCGCTGGGAGCACGGCTCCCAGCACTCGGAGCCTGTCTACACTAGCGCTTTAAAGCGCTCAGACTCGCTGCGCTCAGGGGGGTGATTTTTCACCCCCCTGAGCCAGCAAGTTAGAGCACTATAAAATGTAAGTGTAGACAAGCAAGAGATGAGTATAAAGGAGACTATGCTGGTGTAGCTTACACCTTGTTCTGGCTCCATTAAGGGCCTGATTCTTTGTTGCCTTGAACCTTGCATAGTCATTTGCATCAGTGTAAAGTGGGTGTGATACGCTTCCAAATTAGAATGTTAGTGCTGTATGCCCACTCTGCACCTGTGTGAATGACCACATAAGGTGTAGGGCAGTAGTCAAACAGGCCCTCAGTATGTGAGTTACACCAGATCAGATTCGTAAGTAAGCCTCAGAGGGCCAATTTCCCTCTCTCCTTGTTGCTGTGTGAAAGACCCACATCAGAACCAAAGACACAAGTACACAAAACAAACAAATTCAACAAGATAGAGACAGGCATTTTCCTCTAATCTTTTTCAGTTTATAGTCATCTAAGCTGTTACGTGTGACAGCAGTAGGCACAAGAAAGCCACAAAGAAGTGTGATTTTTAAGTTGGCAGGGTTTCTTGAAAATTGATTTACAATCCCCTACCACACAGGGGCAAATTAACACCTGGGGTAAGCAGGTACTTGTTCATAGAATCACAGTGGACATTGCCTATGCCAGCACTGATTTTGTCCAGGGGTGCTGTGGTTTACAGTATACTATGTTGAGAAACTTAGCAGCATTTCAACAAACTTTGAAAAGTGTGATACAAAATAATAGCAAAAAATAACACAGATTGGGATGGATCAAAGCAAGACCTGTGATACATCTAGGTACTTGAAAAGCTATACAGTAGAAATGGATTTTAATATAACCCAGTCAGATTTAAGTCCACAGCCCCTTATTTATAACAAAAAGGAAAAACAACAGGACTTGGATTCCATCTGGGACAAAGAGTTGCTCTTCAGAGTGTCTTCTTTTCTTCCTAAGCACACTCACATTAACTTCTTCCATCTGCTTGGGATCTGACCTTAGCAGCCAGGCCAGATATGTTCATTTCCTTGCCCATGGATGCTCCCATATAAGGTGATCTCTCTTTTGCTGTTGAGCATGATTTCTATTTGCTCAGGTTTCTTTCCACTCTGATTTGCTGGCTTTCATGGTTGAGCTCCCCTCACAGATTCACCAGGCAGTCATACATGCAGTAGTGTCTGTATGGAGAATGGGGGTGTGACTGCAGATCCAAAGGATTTCGGTTAATTTCTGTTCAGGCCTAGTTCTTCTTCTTACTCTCCTAGCCTCTGGAAGAAGCCCTCACTATAACTCTTCTCAAACAGCTCAAAATATATTAAACCCAATCCTGAGGTTTGTCCCTTTGTGAGTTTCACCTGAATAAGAGCTTTAGGGGTGAATACAGTATTGTGTACCATTGTAATAAAATTAGGAAACCTTGTTCAAATGCCTGTGACACCTCCATCTGAACTATTCCAGGGGATATGGATGCTACACCTGGCTGTGTATAAGAGCCACAGAACCACCCACCTATGTTTTGTGGGACCCCATCCAGATATCGCTTCACCTACATGACCCATATATCCCAGCTGCCTCCTGCCTGCAACTCTCTAGAAAACATCATCCCTCTCACATGTGTGTGAAGTTTCATGGCCTATGTTGTGATGCCAGAAAGCCAGGAGATGGAGATAAAGCTTGATTTTCTAAGCAGACGGAGGGAGGGAGGGCTGGTAGTTAGGGAACTCAGGCTCTGCTTTGGCCTGTTGGCACTGGAGCCAGACGGACTCTGGATGTGGAAATCTGGGATAGCCAGGAGCGCCGCCAGCTTTTTTGCTGCTCTAGGTGGTGGAAGGTCCTGCCCCCGAAATGCTGCCCCCGACAGGGGCAGCGGAAGGTCCCGCCCCCAAAATGCCGCCCCCAACCAGGGCGGCCGAAGATCCGGCCGCCGCCCCCCAAATGTTAGCACCCTAGGCCACCACCTAGGTTGCCTAATGGGTTGCGCCAGCCCTGGGGATAGCACTCTGGCTGGTTTAGGCTGGGTGTGTGCATAGTGTGGGACCCCTAGAAGAAAGGGCTATGAAGCCACACGGATCAAAGGTTGCCTCAGGATCCTCCGTGGCCTTCTCACATTGTGCCACCCCACACCCTCCTCCCAACTAGGAAAGATCTATGGAATCAGAACTTGGCCTGACCACACCTATGTTCCTGTCTTCACAGTAAGGTTTTCAGAGAGGAGGTGCCAGAAGCAGGCTAGATGTGACTATAAAGGCCCATTTCTAATGACTTTCTGTGTTTTGGCTCCCTCCTTCCTTCACCTCAACCAGGGTTTGAATTAGCAAACCACAAACGCTTATACTAGGATAGACAGGTATTTTGATCTTGTTTTGGTTTTATGTTGACACTTTATATGGCACTCAAACCCACTCCTTTCCCTGAATACTCTTTGTGCTCTTGATAAACATGAATGGGGCAGATTCTGTGCTGGGCCTCCTGAGAGACGCAGCCCAAGGGGAGATGGCAAACCTGGCTTTAAGCTACCTGTGTGTTGTCTTGATTT